TCGCTGTACACGGTGACGATGTTGCGCCGAATATGACACTCTTCATCCTATATTCCACAGGTGGACCCTCTCGTCGATCTCCTCGCCACAGGAACCGTTGCATGTCCCTGTCTTCTTCCCGTATGGTGACCCGCATGAACATGTCCTTTATGTCCGCCGTGACTGCCACCCGTCGTTGCCGGAACCGCATGAGGACCCCCGGTAGCGATTGAAGTAAGTCGGGGCCCGGCAGCAGCATGTCGTTCAAACTGATGCCCTTCGTCTTGGCCGCTGCGTCGTGCACGATCCGCAGTTTCCCCGGTTTCTGCGGGTTGATGACGGCGAAGTGTGGCAGGTACCACACCCGTTGGGAACTCCGTGGCGGGGCGACTTCAGCATACCCGTTCTTGAGTAGCGTGTCTATTTGCTGTTCATACCTCTTCTTAATTTCTTCGTTCTTGTCGAGTTTCCTTTCGACCAGTTGGAGACGTCGCATTGCCGATTCGTAGTTGTCCGGCGGCACAGGGTCGTCCTTTTTCCACAGTAACCCCGTCTCGTATCCTCCCGCCGGTAACGGACGAGTTTTCTCTTCTAAAATGCGTAGGGCGCGACGTTCCTCTTCATTGTAAGACCTCTTCGGTGCGATTCCCAACGATTCGAGCGCGAAATGTTGCTTCATCATTTCTTCCATTGATTGTTCCTCTTCGTGTGTCGTCACTATGTGGCTGATTCTGTGCACCTGCTGTCTTGTCCTGCCGCGACTCGTACCGTGCAGTACCCATCCCAAGTCGGTGAGTGATGCGACCGGCTGCGTGTCGGATCCTCTTCTAACTTCGTGGGCCAGCAGTAGGTGCCAGTTGTCTTGCCCCAGCAGCACCGTCGGTTTGCCCTCTTCATAGACCAATTCCCTCTCTATGTCCCGCAGATGTGGACAGCCCTTGATGACGCTGCGCGGTACCGACTGCGGTGATAACTGCAGTCTGTCCATCGTCCGTGCCCCCACTGTGTATTCTTGTGAATTCCGCCCGCGGATCTTGAAGTGAACACGCGTCGATTGAGCTGCGTTGATCCGTGCCCCGGCCACACCTTCCATGTAGAATGGTGCGGGGGACCCGTAGCACCGATTCGCTCCGCCACCGTCGTCTCGATGATGGTGCAAGTCGACCCGTCGTCCAGTAGCGCGTAGGTGTCGCACGTTCCCGTGGGACCGGTGATTCGTATCGGCAGGATCTTCAGGAACGCGATCTTGTCGTTTTCCCTTGCCGATGCGGTGACTGCGGCGGACTTGTCCTCGACGACATGCGTTGTTACTTCATTCTCCGGCTGTTGTCGCGTGGTGTGCAGCAGAGGGTGATGAGTCTGCGTGCACTCATCTATTCCACATCTCTTGCTCTTGCAGGCGTGGCGAAATCTTCTCACTTTGAGGCAACGGAAACACAGCCTATGAGTCTTCGCTAACTCCCATCTCGCCGATGTGTCCGCTTCCTTCATCGTCTTGCAGTCCGATGGAGCGTGTCCCTCTCGTCGACACATCGGGCACGGTGGTGTAGCGGGTTTCTCCTGCGTCGTGTATGTCTTCGCCGTCTTCCTAGGAACGGACTCCCGCCGGTCTTCGGACGGTATCTCCTCGGCGGGGGCGAAGTTTCCACATCGTGCGGCGGTCCTTTGCAGGAACTGAGAGAGTGTTATGAGGTCCGGTTGTCCCTCCGGTTGGTCGTTGGCGAAATCGTAGTACTTGAAGCGTAGTACCGACGGCATCTTCTCTGTGACGTTTCTCACTATTTCTTCGTTGTAGAGGTAGTGACTCTTGTTCAGCGCTCGTATCGTGGCGACGACGTTCTGCACCTTGCTTGCGAAGAGGCAGACGTCTCTTGCGTTGTCCGAGAGTCGTGGTAGCGCGCGGAGTTTGTTCAGTTCGGCTGTGACGAGTGCTCCAGGGCGGCCGAACCTCGCGGCTAACATCTTCATTACTTCTTCTGCGGTCGTAGACCCGACGAATACGGAGCGTGCCGCGTCCTTTGCGGCCCCCTTCAAACTTCTGCGCAGTCTTGCTAGGTTCTCTTGTTCTGTGAGTTGACTTGCGCTTTCTTCATAGGCCATCTTCCATGGTAACCACTCGCTTGACGATCCATTGAAGACTGGCAACTCGGTGACTCTTGACGCTGTGGAGGGCAGTATGTTGCGAGCGGCCATCTGCATGGCGATCGCAAACTCATTGCAATCGATGCCCACCTTCAGCACCGGTTCTTCCTTCTTCATCGACTGCATCGCTGCTGCTATCGTAGGCATGGCGGCATGTGGGTCAACGTGGCGTGCGTGGTCCCGGTGAAGTGCGTCGCTGCTCGGCTGTGGCGGCGGCGCTCTCGAATCCTCTTCAACGGGTCTCGATGGGACGAACCCCTGACGCTTGCCGGTGACTTCTTCTATCTCTGGTACATGCGGCTCCATCGTGAGTGCCAGCGTGCTTCGATGAACCCAATCCGACGTTCGTTCTCTTCTGACGGTAGCGTCGTCGTCTTCTACTTCCTCGTCGTCCTCTGATTCGGCTTCCAGGGCGGCGACACGTGCAGCGGCCAATTCCACCTCCTTTCGAAGTAGCTCCTCCCGTGCCTTGGCCAGAGCTTTCTTCTTCTGCGAGGCCGTGGTGCGAACCGTGCGTGCCGTGCCGTGCTTCGGTTCCTTCTTCCTTGCTGTCCCCTCTGTCGTTCCTGTGGCTTCGGTAGTCTCCGTGGCTCCTGTGGTCGTCGTATCGCCGGACGTGTTCGTAGTCGATGTAGTGGCGGCGGTAGACGACGTGGCAGCGACAGAAGACATTCTGACAGCCGCAGACGACGTGGTGGCAGCAACGGACGGCGTGGCAGCGACGGACAGCGTTCCGGCGGTCGTAGTCGACGTGGTGGCGGCGGACGTTGTGGCTTCGGTGACGGCGATTTTTTGTTGCGACGACTTCATGTTTCTCGTAGTCGGCATTTCAGCGATCCGGCTTCAGAATGGTCTTCCTCCAGCGATCCGGCTTCTCGATGTACCAACGGTGTTCCTCCAGCAATCCGGCTTCTCGAAGGACCACGATGTACTGTGTGGACTGCCGTACGGTGAGCGTAGACTGTAGGGGCGTTGGTTCAGGCTGGAGTGAAACACAGGGATTACTATTCTGAAGCCTCCGGTACCGTCTGAAGAGAGTATTTTTTCTTCTTGTCCTATTTCTTCTCGAGTGTAGTGTGTCGCTGCCCGGAAGCGAATGCCGCTCGACGGGAGGCGGCCTATCTTTATACCCGCCCGCTCGTGCGATAACGTTTCCAACTCGCGTTAGCGAATCTGCGCGAGCGGGACGGGGCGAGAATGAGCGAGACGCGTGTCTCTTCAGATCGGTACTCTATAGCGTCTATTTATTTATTACAATTTACAATTTCTTAGTTCTATTTATTGTTACAATTTCTATTTCTATTCGTAGGTAATAATGACAACACGCAGAGGAATACTTTATTTAACTTACACTATAGGTATCTTAAATCTATGTAAAATCTATATAAAATAACAGAATACAAAACGATTAAACTAGGGACTTAACAACTAACTATAAACATTGCTATAAATATCGCTATAATTACACATATACAATAATGTCGCGAACAGATTTTATGTGTTGAGGTGGGATTTTTAAAACGAAATTTGAAAAAAAATTTTTCAATTATTATAAAAAATAAAAAAGGTAGGGTTTGAAGGGTAGTGAAATTACAGGGTACATAGGCATAACACCTTAGTCCTCAGGAATAGAAATGCGTGAAGGGAATAGGCGACACAGTACACTCTGTTATGGCCATGACCCTTCATGTCTATAGGCGACGGTTACCACTATCAATCTGGTGGACAGTCAGTTTATTTGTCATTTTAAGTTGCATAAAAAAATATAAAAATGTTAATAGCTCTTTTATCATAAAACACTCGCATAAATTGATATAGAACTAGTAACTACCACTAGCAAGGCAAATTTTGATAATAGTGTATTTCATTACCAAAAATTTTGGTAGCAAATTAATAAAACAACAAACTAGAAATGATGCCTCAATCTAAATCTTTATAGAAGTGTATTCCAATATTAAAAAGGAAATATTTTAATGGATAAAAACAATGGCAAGGTCAAGGTTGAAATTTAAATTGAATTAAGGACGTACAACACTTCGGAGGTAAGCATTCAAGGAGAATGTTTAAATTAACATATAGGTACCTCTATAAATAATTTGTATTGAGAAAACATCTAGTAAACAGGAAATGACTCTTTTAGTATAAAAAAAAAAAAGTTTATTCAAACTCAGACACTCCGTTGATTAAAATAGATCAAACCCACACGTTGTGTCAATGATCCGACATATTTACACAAACATATCACTAGATAATATTATACTACCTATTTGGATGAAATCAAAAACAAATATTGTAATTAAAGATAAAATTAAATCCACATTCTAGATATTAATGTAAACAGAATTTTAATTCATTCGTATATAGAAGATTATTTTGAAATTATAATTTAAAAAAATATTAAATTTAAATTGGGTTGACGACAGAATAATGCTCTGCACGAGATAATTAAGGCAAAAAAAAAAAACTAAAAAGTATCTGTAGATTTACGAGGTGCAGTAGAAAGAGATCTTTCAAATCAGCTTAGATTTAAATGTGTAGTTGTGCATCGAAATTATTTAACTCAAATCTATGGTTGACCCCTTAAAAACTCATAGTCTAATTTCTCCTAACACAAAGTACTCTAACAAGAGGGACAACAAACGGGTATGATTGTATGGTAATAAATAATTTACAATCACTCTTGTGCAAAACCTTGTAGATAATTGTTAGACAAATGTCTAAGGTATCATGTACATTGTGTCAGAGAATGCACTGACTATATTAACCTTCAAACCGAAATACAAAACACATGCAATACTGTATGACGAAATATAAGTATATAACACAAAACTCTACTATAAAAAAATATACTATTAGTAAGTAATTCTTAATGTACTCACGCTAATCTCCTGCACTTTGGTTTGCAGAGCTTCCACTCTAGCTGTGAGTGTGTTATTGAGGGCTGCGACTTGTGCTTTCAATTCGTCTTCTGCCTTCATGTTCGCCGAAACATTGGCGATAGTCTCATTGGCTTTTGCATGTAACTGCTGTAAAAGGTTTTTGATGTCCTCTACACCCATCGCTGCGTTTAAGGCTTGTTTGTGGGCACTTTCTATTGAAGTATCATAACCCTTGATCTGAAAATAATAAATGGACAGGCGATCAATATTTTTGGCCATTTTGTAATATAATTTATATACTAATTCTTCCCAATAAAAAACTTTAGATTTAATGTTGCCATGATCAGAAAACTGGAGTTGCAAACGACCGATGTAAGAACCGATAATCGATGGAAATTAAAAGTGTTTGAGTGGCGATCTCGTATAGGAAAAACACCAAACACCAAAAAACAACTTCGTAATGTTAGCCGTCATTAGGGTGAGCGACAACCTCAAAAGAGGTCGCCAAAGATGGATTAAATTCAGCAGTGGCATACCTATACCGATCTATAACCGAAATTATGGCTAGAGGTATCTTACATTCGGTACTGTGAAAAGCCAAGGGCCTATATATAGCCTTTGTCATTAAATACTTCAGTTGTTTGATCTATTTTCATTACAAATTTTAGGGATATACGCCGGTTCCAATGACTCTTCTCCCTCGGATATACACGATTTATCAGATTTATAAATTTTATTTTACTTAGATTTTTTATCAAACTAACCTGTGAGCCGAAATAGGCAACTGTCCGCTGCAACTCCGCCAACCGCTTCGGCGTATCTGCCAACATTGGCGCTGCGGCGAGTTTGTCTGACACTGCAGCTATCGTGGCACCGGCTTCTTCGACCCGCTTGGCGAGATCCTGGTGCTCCTGTTCCAATTTGGCGAGCCGCACATTGAAATCGGTCGCGTTCGCCCGCAGCTCTTTGGCAGCGGTATGGCACACTTGTAGTGCGTCACCGACACTGCTGCTGCTTGTTGAAACTGCCAATAAAAAAAAAATAATTTTATTATTCAACCTTTTAAACAAACCACGCGGTAAATATTTTGATCTTTCTTGGAGAACTTTGTTCAGTTTTTTAATACTAAAAACGAACGCTGGTTTGCAGGTTGTATATTTTTTCAATAATAATTTATTGCGGCGTTTTGAAATTTGTTGCTTTCGTCGTGAACGTAACATTTTTACCTACTTACTACCAAATAGTTGGATTTAATATCAATACACAAGGGACAGAAGATTCTATCCTAATCTAAGTTTGACCTGAATGACCTAAGTTAAAAAGTGTTTATTATTTACCAATGACAGATTAGACCATAAACATAATATTAGCCAAGTTTCGTGGTAGAGCTTCGAATTTACGATTTCTGTTATCTTTTGAGTCGACCATAACGACGAGTATCTCTTCATGACCATTACAATACGATTTAAACACTACGTTACCTGTTTCCGTGTTTTATCCGGAAAAATCGTGTACGGCGGAACCTTCACTCGCCCTTGGTCGCCGCATATTTTATACCATCGAGTCATACAAACTCGACTATTATTATAAATACGAAAGTAAGTTTATTTGTTACGATTTTACGTTTAAACAGCTGTATCGATTATGATGAATTTTGGTATAGAGATAGCTATCATTCTGGAGACGATTATAAGCTACTTTTTCTCCAGTGAACACATGACGGTCACACGAACAAGGTCGCGGATAAAAGCTGTATTCAATATAATTTTATAATTTGTATCAATTTACAAGTGGCATGACAGTCACCTTAAAACAACCAAACTAATAAATTCTCCGAATTTTTGACTGTTTATGGGACAATCTGTCTCTCTGTATATTATCGTCAAATACTTTATAGTGCTCTATAGTACTCTTACACTTAATATTACAAAACCTACTGAATTTCCATTTAGGCATAGACTTCTCTACAGTAAAGGAGGATTTTAACTTAATGTTACCATGTTGTCCAGATGATTTGGTATAAGGACTGAATGGAATTTTTCTTCTTTATATTAGTGTTTTGTTCCCCTAATCGCCTATTAAGGCATTTTCTATATGATTACTAAACACAATGTGTGTTGGCGCTATCGAACAGTAATAATTTTATTAATATTACCACACTTATTATTACACAGAAGAAATTGATAGTTGTGTTTCAAAATAATAAAGGTATTGGAATATGGTTATATATATCATTTAATAACAATTAACATTACACCACAACCACATTAACTCAATTTAGTATTTTTAGGCATTTAATCTAATTATTTAATTAATTAGTGCAATCGGTCAAGATTTTAAGCCAAGTAACTGAACTTCATCAATATGCGAATTGTTTATCTTTTCGATTATTTGTCGATCCTCTACGAACTTACTTACAATTTACATGTAGGTATAACTACTTGAAAAATTTTATACCAATATTTTATAATAAAGTTCTTGTATGTAGTAATAACATATCGTTTTGATTAACTAACCTGCCAGCGTAAACTAATAGCGTAAACGATTGTGCTGGCGAGTTACACTAAAATTCTATTTTTAACTCATTTCAGAAAAAGAAGACGTTCTCAATTCGATTGTTTTATTATTATATAATTTACAAATCGATTTGAATTTTTGTATGATAGCGCAATTACTTGCGCTATTGATTTAGGCCATTTAAGCTGGCAGGGTATCTCTGAATGAGAGATATAGACGAGAGTGCGAATGATAGATTTAAAGTAATCACCTAGAGCATGTCACGTATTATCCACGATGGTTTCCGGAGGAAGTTGCTTGCATCCCACAGTTATACATTAGTACCGTAGTCAAGTATATAATCATGGCTCATTCTAATGTATACAGATAAGCTGATTCCGCAGTAGATATCTAATAAATTCAACCTACACACTTTTGCACGACGTTTAAACTAGATACCATGGACCGCCTACAATTATTTTTATCTAAGGCTTGTTAAAAAAAAAAGTTTGACAGCGAACTATACTATCGTAATAATGAACCGGTTTTTGTACCACAACCAAAAATAATATGGTCACTTTCACATATCTATGACTATTATGCTTTTATTGGATGCGCATTTAGAGTATCTAACTAGCGACAATATATTTTAACGATTTGAAATAGAAAAAAAAAAAATACACTGCATATAATTACATAAGTAGATTTTGTTCTACACAAAAAAAGACTCCATGATTAAAGGGACCAACATGAACAGATTGAAGAATAATTACTAATATTTGATTCATATACAAAAATACCGTGTGGTTCCAGCATTTTTTTTTATACAACTTAGAATGGCAAACAAGCTGACGGCCCACCTGATAGAAAGTGGTAACCGTTGCCTAAAGACATGAGCAGTATCATGGATATAACAGAGTATACTGTTTTGCCCATGATACTCCCCATGCGTTGCCATTCCTAAGGACTCAGGTGTTATTCCTCTGTACCCAGTCAATTCACGCCATATCTCACCCTTCAAGCCGAAACACAGCCATGCAAACACAACTGTTTTACAATTGAAACACGAATGGGACAGAGGTACCTAAGTAAACGACTTTTGTACAAAGTCTCCCTCTGGTAATATAATAAAATATAATATAAAATGGGTCACTCTTTCCTTTTCTGTGGGTATCGTAAGAGGCAATTAAAGGTCCTTAATAGTCCAGGGATACGCAATAGCGTCCCTTTTAAAATATCACGAAGCCTCCTGCCAAGCGTGGCAACTAATGGCAATCCCCCGTTATCGGAGAGGCTCATATTCAACAGATATGATGATGATAATGATTTAACAGTTGCCAGTTATTAATAGTTAATAATTGACAACTGCGAATCGAATTACTCTAATACTCTTAGATTAAGGGATCAGTGATGATTATTCTAAAAATGAAGAATAGATTTTTTACGTCTGTTATTTAAATGGACCTACCTGTTAGCAACTGCGATTCATCATCTCATTACAGTTAATAGTACTAATTTATGATCACACCATTTAATGACTGAATCATTTCAGATTATAACTAATAAAAAATTCACGAAAAAATTCTTATGTAGCACGAAAATAAACTTGTATTTATATAAATGTTATCAGAATTTTATTAAATATAAAATACAACTCTAATATTGTCATTAAACTCAAATTAAGACCAAGGTCATGCAAAGAATTCTTCCGTGAAACTCAATAACCAATCAACCTATATTTTCGAGGAACGAACCTCTATCCATTTCCATCCGTAGTGAAACAATTTGTCGCCGTACATCGACGAAGAGCCATAACACAGTTGCTGCAGAAACAACGCACACACATAGAGCCAGAGCGGCAGCGAGGCGGACGAAAGGGCGGGAGCGGCGGCGACGAGTCGTACGTCTTCCCCAGGGCTCGCCTTCGTCGCTAGACGCTGACAGTAGGCGACCACTTCTTGATCCACCACCACCCACCAAGGCATCCAACTCTCGCCGTTTCCTCATTTTCTTCCCGACCCGCAGCGGGACCGCTGCATGCACTGCGCTCTCCATTACGCGCAATCGCTACCGCAAATGCATCCGCACCACACTATGCACCAATCACTATTATATACACTTAATCACTTTCACTGTTTTTATTTTGGTGTTTGACGCGTGCGCACTAACCAGCGTCACAATTGCGACTGAGCGATACAATATAAATAATCTGTTTAGATTATAACACGACAATGATTATTGGGTGTGCTTACGTAGATGACATTACATTTAGCAGGTAACCAAATTAAATTACAGAGTCTGACTTATATTATTACTGTACGTAAGGTTTAATTTTCTGAGATGATAATGTTTTTATTGCTACTTATTAACCAACAAGGACACTGGATAAACATGCATTGAATACCTATATTATATAGTAAATATGTTGACTACGAAAAATATAAATTATATTGATATTTATATTTTATTATATTGTTAAATATGACAATGAACAAATTTATTGACGTCCATGGCTTATTGAGTTATAAGTAATGCTTTGTGTAATAGATTCTGGGTTAATTCTTGATAGAGCCAATTATCAAATAAAATCTTGTTCTTCTAAACTGTGCCCACTGATGTTTGGTTCTTAATTTTCTCATAGCACATGATAGCTGAATTTCAAATTAGGTTAAGGACATAGTTATCACATGCAAATAAAAAACATACCGATACAGAAAAATATAATACTACTGCGTAGTTATATACATTGATATGCAAGTTTAAACTACACGCGAATGCCGGTTACGAAAATATTTCAAAGGTCAGACACATTTTTCTAGTAAATAGCCAACTTCCGTCGTCTTATAAAGGTATCTAAGATAAACAGTATTTAAATAAAAAATAAATAAATAATTATGCTGTTTACGGTTTTCCACACTAGCTTTCTTCGGGCTACACTTCGGGCAGTTTATTGTTTATTATAGAAAAAATAAAATCATCAAAAAAAAACAGAGTGTGATCTACAATCATTAGCACGTTTAAAATAATTTCAAGTAGAAAAGATCCGGTTGACTTAGAAAATCGATCTCGCAATTTACTTAGGGCATTAATATCTATTTGTAAGTAGCGGTTTCCCGTAGCCTCGAGTACATGCATACCAGTATTATACGTTCACAAGTTCAAATATATCATCATAATTAATTGTAAGAAATATCATTTATTTATATACAATTCAAACGCCAAATTGAATGTCTCCAAACATATTTATCTGTTATCACACTTTATATTCCATAACGCACGAATAGTGAAAACATGTTTGACATTAATATTACTAGAAATAGCAAACGCAGAGTTCGAACAAGGTGATAGCTCGAATATAAATATCGGAAAATATAATGATGTTAAACTTTTTTTTTATTAAACACAAGGCCTGCGTCGTAGAAGTCCATAAAAGTATTACCGAGACACAATGTTTTACAAATATATAAATATTAGCATCCTGTATTTTTTTTATAGGTGTTAATGAAATAGTAACCCCACCCGCGCTATCGGTATACACCGGCGGGGCACCAGTGAAGGATGATAGATGAGGATGAAACAGGTCAGTTAGCCCATCATGAGAAATTCTACGAGAATTGTTCACGATGGTTTCCAGGCGGAACCACATGGAGGTTGACTTGATATTACATACGGGCATATTGCTAGCAATGGGGCTGTCAAACTTCATTGCTAACAATCCCTTTTCCCCTCTACCATCCTATATTAGAGATTACACTAAATCTTATCTTTCAGGTGGACATACTATTCTCGTAACGTCATAACAGATAATGAAGGCAATACGACAGGAAGTTATACAAAACTATCATTAAGAGTGGATTTACATTAAAAGAACAAACAAGATCTAGAAAATAGAATCAAATATAGATATTTAATTATAAGTTGTAGGAATAAAAGAACAAGGTTTCATTATGTCTAACTCCACTTGAATAGTTATTAAAAGGTTTCAAGTGTTGCAATTATTACGTGCATCGGTATATTGTGTACAGTGTTACTAATTATCCACGATTAGCACTAAATTGAAGGCAACACTATACTGTATGTGCTATTTACGTGAGGAAACACGAGGGTTACGTGTGACAGGCAAATGAGACTTACTCGTATTAAGGCCATTTACATGTTGACATTGAAATCTTTCTAGCCGGTTATTGCTTAACCTTGATCTTGTAATTTATAACATATTATATTCAATATAAGTCACATTAGGGAACGTATTTAGGAGAACAGAATATTTTTTATTATGTCTGATATATATAATTTGGTTTGATATATTTATATTATAAGTTGGTTCACTTATACTTAAATTTAAAGGATATTTAATTATATAAACTGTACTGAAGGCACGTTACTGAAGTGAGTGACATATTTCAGTATAATAATAATTCATGTGCTTTAAGGTGTTCAATGTCAAACTTGTATTTACATTCAATAATACATTTGAGCAAGGGTTATGCTTGTTCTATCATTTTCTATTAATAAAGTAATGGAATTCGACATTGACCTATTTATGTATTTTGACGTACCTAAATAGGTACATAACAGTAAAGACAACATGTAGAGTTTATCATGACTAACTGGTAAGTCGGTGGATTGAACTATCAACGTGGTTTAAACCGATGAAGTTAAAAAAATTTAAAAGTTTGTATGAATGTTTACAGGTTTGTTACTAAATCGCAATTAAATAGGTGAACGGTATTGAGATTGGTACACAGACCAATTCACGCGAGCATGGACGCGGATTACAAGTAGTTTTAAATAAGTAGTTTTTTGAGGATGTCAGCCGCAAAGAATAGATTCTTATAAATTTTCATCTCAACTGGAAATTATGAATTATATTTTATATATGTTATACGTGAGTGAAGCTGCGATAAACAACTAGCAATGTATATAAATACTAAATATTCCTATCAAAGCCATATAAAATGCCTTAATATATAACCCTAATAGTTACTTATAGTTTAATTATTTCTGCAGTAAGAGTAGTATAAATATTGACAGATTATGATATGAAATATACTATGGAAAACCACAAAATTTGATATGGCATTCAGTACGTTATAAACCTACGCAACGAGGGCCTCTTAATAATAATGCCATATAAATACTTCATGTTTGTAGATTGTTTTGCAATTATTCATTTAAGAACACGGAACGAAGTTATAATATACCTACCCTTGAAAGATTAGTTACAAAATCTAATCTAAAATTAACTAGTATCATAATGATAAGCAAAGCTGACGTATTAGGTGATAAAGAGTGGAGTATTATCGACCTGTAATGTGAATGAACCGAACGCATGCGCACTGAAGTTGCGACAAACACCAACCAAATTATAACATATTATTATGTTACAACCCCATATTATACTATCAAATATTCAGATTCGCAATATATAATTAATATATATTTAAGAGTATATAACAGGGTATAAATTTAAAAGTGATTTCGATACATTATTTTGAAATAAAAAAAGACATTGCACAAGATTGTAGTGACATTATAAGTGCATCAACTTTTTTATAAATTTCATATTAATCTAGATATGATGTAAATAATTTGATAGTGCAATATGCTTCATATTATTATAATTGAATAGCCGCAATTGACACTCGAAACACTGTGTTTATTTTCCAACAACTGCATACCTAAATACAGATCTACTATTGAGACGTATTGTAATTACACTTCACTATACAATCACTGTTAATATATGAATAATGATTACGTACAAATTTACGACAATATTAATTTATGAGACGAGCGAAAAACAACCGCGTTAAATGAAATTGTTTAAATAGGACAATCTAATAATTCTTCAAGTCAAGGATATATTGAGCACAAACAAGGGTTTCTGAGGGATTTCGGAGAGGGAACTAGTTGTGACGTCACATAGGCGCGGCGACGCATGCGTGCGAAATAAAATGTAGCAGATTTAGAGAAGCTAGATAAGACAATTTTTCATAAATAAATATACATAAAAAAAATATCTAAGTATGTTAATCAGTTGTCTAGTATCAATAGACAACAAATATAAACTGTTAGTTTGACGCTAAAAAGCACTGTTGAATATATCGTTTAACCGTGTGTACTCGGCATAAAATAGGCCATCCCTGTCTTTCCCGTAGGTATTGTAAAATGCTAAGGGAGGACAAGAGATACGTAGCAGTGTCCCTTTAAAAACATCTCCAAAGCCTAACTTCGGTTGCCAATCCGCCTGCCAAGCGTGGCAACTACTGGCAAAACCTCCCAAGCGGGAGGCTTATGTTCAGCAGTGGACAGTTAAAGGGTGATATGATAATGATGATGAATATATTGTGTCACGTCACATTTATTATTATTACTAGTTTTTACACGCGACTTCGTCCACATGACAGGAATATGTTGTCGATCGGAATAAAAAAAAATAAGTAGCCTATGTTCTTCTCCATCCAATGATTGATTAAGCCGTTAAGACGCTAAGATGTAAAAAATCATTTTCCCATTTTTAATATTAAATAATAACAATGTTAAAAAAATGGTACATATTTACAGAAATTATTTTCAATAACTTTAATATCTCTGTTTCTTACAATTTTACGTTAACTGCGTGCGTAGTAGATAGTGGCCTAATTTGTTAGATTAGTTGACTAGAAGCAAAGGTCCAATTTTATTTACTACTAAATTAGATTTAGGTAGATTTAATTCTATCTATGCTCCGGGTTTATAAGAAAAACAGAATGCCAAAAGTCTTTCGTATAGCATTACATTTTGATATATTAGAAACTATGCCGACCTGAAAAACAGGAATAGTTAGATAAATCCAATCGGTGACATATAATATGCTTACCAGTGAACAGAAGTTTACTTTAAGACAATGAATTTTCAATAATAATATATTTAATAGGTGATGATGAGCGGATAAAATTTAACACCGGACACACAGACAAATCGCACTTATATTAGGAGTTGACACATATATATACGACCTTCTTTTTAAATATTAAGCACATATTTAGATACATTTAATTTGTAGAGAAATTGTGTCGTTCTGAATAAATAATTCCCGTGGGGTTAAAAGAATAATGTCGATAACGCAGATAATATCTATTTTTTCACCAAGATCCTTGCAGGGTAGGCAGACAGAACCGAAACCCCCAATTTTTTATGTCTCTTGCTTTTTGCACTTTCATAACTCGTCTCATGCACGCAGCCGGTTTCCGAGACTCTTGACTGCTTCAGAAACAACAGGATCTGTCTGATCATATTAGGTCAGTCTAGGTTTCCCCCTATTATCTACTACTGTTTTGTCAACGCTTTTGACAGATGTAAGCGGCTGCATATTATGAATTTTCATATAGGTTTTCATAATAATATTATTTTAAATGATAAAAATTAATTGTAACTAAAATTAATTAATTAAGGAAAATTATTCAATTTTGACAAAATAAAAAGATTGATTGATTAAAATTATAATTATTAAAATTTTACACTTTAGGAAATGTATATAAACCATACAAAGATATGAGTATTTCATTAGGAATGACATCGTTGTCTTGGCTATATATGGGGTCATGGTCTAACCCAAATGAAGGTCTTAATCTCTATCCTAGATTAGTTTGCCCAATTCAATTACTACATAGATAAGATTACTTGCCCCTATAGTGTAACCAAAACGCAATACTGGTGAAAATATAAAAGAAAAACAATAAAATTTCTAGGAATATTTATATACACAAATAATATAATATTATGCCTATAGCTATAAATATTTTTTTACCAAAATTCAGCTTTATGAGATTGGATTTTATTTACAGCCAAAAATTTTACAAACCTAGATACTTAGAAAGATGTGCAATATTTACATTACATATAAAGTTATAAATTCACATATTTAGTAGACATTTAAGGGCAGAAATAATAATAGTTTTTGTGTCTTAGACTTAAAAACAAATTGACATGCTCTAAAAAAAAACAATATACATATTAATATACCCATAGTATAAGACTTTTTAATATAACATAAAACCTAATCTTTACTAATTAACAACTTCTAATAAATGAAGTGACATTAAATGAATCTCAATTGTGAAAATAACTATCATACAGTACATATGCACATAAGCTATGTTACAATAGTGTTATATATAGCAGCCATAAACTCTTAGGAGCTTGATAAATTCAAGTCTGTTTTCTTTCAAAACTAATGTTAAGAGAATCTACTATAGATAGAATGACAGACCCAAGTTACTTGTAGGGAGGTAAGAGTTAAGGAAATATTTCGAGCCACTTATATCTAATAAGTGGATTAAAATGTTTTCTTATGACAGTCTTTGGGGGAGGCTTATGTTCAGCAGTGGATAATTACTGGTTGAAATAAAGATATGAGACATTTATACTTTTAGTTAGTCCCATATTTCAATTATGAAATATTGATTAAATGCTATTATTATATAATTTTGATGTATATTTAGATATTAATTTGTTTAAAAATATTTTATATCCAGTGCAGTAAACAGAAACACACTCAGGTCAGATAGCAGAAATGTAGGGTTAAATTCAGATCAAGTTGTCAGAAGGTACTTTTTCAACCTACTAATAATTTAATATTATTTGCTGTTTTCATAAACTTACCTTTGTTGAATTCTATGCGCATGACAGAAACTTGATCGTAAAGCTCTGCACAGATCCATGTTAGCATTAACAGCCAAAGTAAAAGAGTGCCTCGTACTGCCCAGCGGAGTGCACATCGCACTTCTGTACCTATGTTAGGCTCAGGAGCTCTGGGTGTGATTGTACGACTGCGTTCTCTCCTGAAATTAAATCAAATGCTAAAAAACATAAACTTGACTAAGTTTGAGATTTTTCTTGTAAGATTTACCTAATAACAATTTTAAAATATTAAAATTAATTTGTTGATAGTTACTAGTTACAATAATAATAAGTATGCATCAGATTTGGTGACTGTATAAAAGTTCACCTGAAATAGTATGTAATCCTTTTTCCCCTTCTATACCTATTACACCAAACTACTACACAAATATATTAAACAAAAACCCTTCATTGTGTAATTTAAATATTCAGGAGAATGCAAGAATATAAGTAAAAATGGTTTTTATATCTTTTACATTAAACCAATCATGTGAATATAGAATTTCATGAATTTCACTACCACTCTATTTGGACTTTTTTACACAAGTTCCATAACACATTATAGTCTGTCATACCAAAGATAAATATGGAATTATTTTTTTTATAAATAAATAATTGGTTACCTATGTGACCTTGTATTATTTAAAATCATTTACTTAACATTACTATGATTTGAATTAAGCATATTATTCAAATTATTCCAGTAGAAAACCATGTTTTCAATAATTCTTTTGATTTGATAATAGGCCCTTTATCTCAGAATAAAATAATAAATAAAATAAATTACAGTACTATACAAACCTAGAAATTCTTTTTTTCCTACTTGGTATTATTTCCAAATGCAAGTCTTCTGACCCTTCGTCGCTGGATAGATCCAGGAGGCGAAAGTTTTCTTTATTAACTTTCGATGGTAAAGACATTTTTTAACTGGGCACAGAATAACATGCTATCTGCATGTAATATGTACCGCCTTCATAAAGTTTTCTAAATTTTGTACCTAGTCTATAAAAGAAACAATATTCATATTTATATCAAAATAACAATAAAAAAAAACTAATAAGAACAATATTTTATGACAATGTTTAGGTTAGACCACAAAATACTAGTGATGTGCGCAGTCGATTATGATTGAACGATAATCAATTAAAATTATATATGTTGTTGGAACTGTAAGATAGTGTCTCAACCAAACTTCATAAAATTATAAATAATTTACTAGAGGGATACTTTGTTTAAAAATCATGTGCCTGGATATCATTTGTCCCATTCGTGTTTCTGCCATGAAACAGTTATGTTTGCGTAGCTGTGTTTCAGTTGAACAATGGGATATTGTATTAAATTTATAGGGTACAGGAGTAAAATATCTAAGCCCTTAGAAATGGTAACGCGTAAAAAGTATCATAAATGACATAGTATACTCTATTGTATATGTCCATAATATTATTCATGTTTATAGACAATGATGGTCATTTTCAATCAGGGGGTCATCAACTTTTCATTTAAGACGCATATTCAATTAAAATGCTTTTACAAAAGCAGGCTTACATTGTTATTTATGTGTGTATGACTAGGCATATCAGTTTCTTTAGTATGCTTTATTTTTTAGATATCAAATTGCGTAATTATTAGAAAAAGAGAAAATAGCCTTGCCAGTGCTATCGATATATACTGGTAGGGCATTACTGACTGATGATAGGTGAGAATGAAACCAGGTCAGTTGGCTCATAGTGACTAATTTATAGAGAATTAACATATCTCTTTTTCCTTTATGCTGATATTTATGTAAAGTTGCAAAAGGTGCGCTGTAAACTAATAAAAACATTAGGATGATATAAGAGAGGCGCTAAGATTAATAAAGGATATCATCACTTTCGACTTCAGGAAGACGGTGATTAATGTTATGTGTAGTAAGAACTATGTATTGTGTACTTGATAGAATATCATTAGATATTTAAGCCAGTACTCAAGTCAACATGACTTGGGCATCACTAAGTGATTCCCTGTCTAATGTCTCGAATGTCGACTCATAAATAGTCTTAGTGATTACTTACTCTGTGGTTTTGTCAGTCATGTCATTATTCTTAAATCTTAATCAATTCTGTTTTGTCTAAATTTGATTTATACATTTATTAATTCTGTGATTAATTTTCTACCACAATCTTTATTTTCATTCCGAAATTTATTTATTTAGTTTTAAATAATGGATGATGAAAATAGAGATTTCGAACCTTTAGAACCTTCGTTGCGAAATGTGATAGAACAAAAGTCATTAAGATGGATATTCGTCGGAGGTAAAGGTGGTGTTGGCAAAACAACGTGCAGGTAAATTAGAAACTTATAAGGAAATATTGATGCGTCATTTACGATAATATCGTAACTTTACCTTTTAAATTTTCAGTTGCAGTCTGGCAGTTCAGTTGTCTAAAGTGAGAGAATCTGTGTTGATTATTTCTACAGATCCAGCACACAATATATCTGATGCATTTGATCAGAAGTTTTCAAAGGTATCTTACCTACCAATTTCACTTTTGAGGGTTGAGACATTTATTTTGTTGGATTATGGTTGAATAGTTGTTAATATAATAACACAGACACATACACAGTCATATTGCCTATTAATTGCTACCTAATTGGATTGGAATTTATGAAAGAAAACCCCTTCAACATCTCAATATTAATTAATTGACTGTAATATCTATAACTTTTAGTTTAAATAGTTAATTTTTATTTAATATATGCAGGAGACAAGTGTCACATTTACCACAACAATAATATACAGTTGAAGTCTCCATTAAATTTGAGAATATTTATTTTACAAGCAGTGGACAATAGTTTGATATAAACAGTAACCTTAGGCGGCCACTGCCTCTAAGATTTAAGTGGCTGCTAAAGTTCTGCAATTGCTTAAAGAAGTGAAAAAATTAACCTTCTAAATTGACGCAATCAAAAGTTATGGCTGTTAATGTTCCATTGATATAGTACTTCCCGTTGATATAACATCATAATATTTGTTAAGAAGCAGTGTCATGCAGCACAAGAAAAGGAAAAAATCTGAAAACCATAAATTCATAGTTATTTAAATAAAAAAAATAATTAATTGATGATGTATGTTTTTGAATTTATTTGGCCCTTTTTATGCGAAACTGACTCACACTTGACTGGATTTTTTTAATCATAGACTTATAATATGATAATTTTCAATATCTATTATTAATATAAATATTTTTATATTATTAGTTCTTATTTACATGTTAAAATGTGTATGTAGCCTTTGTCTTAGGTAATAAAATCCACCTCTGATTATGATATAGGTTCCAACCAAAGTGAGGGGTTTTGAAAACCTGTTCGCTATGGAGATTGACCCAAATGTTGGACTCACTGAACTTCCAGAGGAGTATTTCGAGGGTGAAACAGAAGCAATGAGATTAGGCAAGGGGGTGATGCAAGAGATTGTTGGAGCATTTCCTGGTATTGATGAGGCTATGAGCTATGCAGAGGTAATTAAATATATATTTTTTAAGAAATATACCATATATAATTTATGATGTTGTGTATATCATTATAGCAGTCAAATATAGAAAGTAAATACTAGTATTATTAAAGGTAATTATAATGTTTAACATTAATATCTATTCAGGAATAATTTTTTTTGTTCAGTACCTAATTTTTTTTTTGAGAAAATAATTGTTTTTTGTGCTTAATTAATACTCAAATGCTTTATAAGTCTATTTTAGTGTTATATATTATCTTTCCCTTATGCATATTTCTTATTAGTTTTTATTCTAAGATTTGTCCCATTTTCAACCAACTTCAAAAAGAAGGAGGTTCTCAATTCGGTTGTATTTATTTTATGTTTGTTGCCTCAAAACTTTGTCAGTTCTAAATCAATTTGGAAATTCTTTTTTTTTCTGAAAAGATATATATGAAATTTGTTTTTCTTTTTTTTCGTGAGTTACTCTCTTTATTTCATTTAATTGTATAAATTGAAAAATTCATCAATATTTTAGTTTAATTTTTTGTTTAGTGTCAATATTGTAAACATTCAAGTGATGGAAAGTTTTATTTTATTGCTCGATTGCATTTGTGAACAATTTTGACTTAATATTATAAATTATAGATTAACTCCACTCTTGAAGCTAATGACAAATTTTTATTTATGTATATTAAACCAATGTTGTATTTATATTAGGTAATGAAACTTGTGAAAGGAATGAATTTTAGTGCAGTTGTGTTTGACACGGCACCTACTGGACACACACTACGTTTGCTCTCATTTCCACAAGTAGTTGAGAGAGGACTTGGTAAACTTATGCGCTTGAAATCTAAGGTAAGAAATTTTTTATACATTTTTTTTATATGACTATGAATGAAAACAAGCATATGGCCCATCTGGTGGTAAATGGTTACCATAAATGACATCTTCAACACCAGGGGTGTGCATTCCGGACCCGTAAAAACCATATTAAGCTCTTTTGAATGTTTTTTTATGATATTTAAAATAGCAATCAACCTAATGGCTCACAGAAAATTTTAACTGTTGCCTAGACATGAACAGCACGATGGACATTACAGAATACACTATTATGCTTATGGTATCTCAAATGCGTTGTCATTCCTATAGGATACCTCCATACTCTGTTATTTCACAGCCTTCAAACCTTACCTAACTGAACTGAAACAATAACACTTTTTGAATAATTTAGCTTTAAAGAAGATAGCCGTCCCCAATCTTTAAGGAAATAATTTTCATTGATTTTATTTGGATTTACAGGTTGCGCCATTCATAAATCAGGTGGCAACGTTGTTTGGCTTGGCAGAGTTTAACTCTGATATGTTTAGTAATAAAATGGATGAGATGCTGTCTGTGATCAGACAAGTAAACGCCCAGTTCAAGGACCCAAACCAGACAACATTTGTATGTGTGTGCATAGCTGAATTTTTATCATTGTATGAAACGGAACGCTTAGTTCAAGAGCTAACGCGATGTGGCATAGACACACATAACATTATTGTCAATCAGCTGTTATTACGCACTTCTGCACCATGTGAGCTTTGTGCCGCTAGGCATAAGGTACAAGAGAAGTATTTAGAACAAATTGCTGATTTGTATGAGGATTTCCATGTGACAAAATTACCTCTACTAGATAAGGAAGTACGCGGCGCTGCGGCTGTCAATGCCTTTTCAGAGTATTTGATTAAACCTTATGTACCACCATCTAATACATGAAAATCTCCATTGCATTTCACTGCGAACCCATAAAAATAATGAACATAGAATTATTATTATTCCAATCATTTATATTTCTCTGTGTAAAGTAATATATCTGGGAAGGCTTTTATTTTCACTAAAAGGTGCTATTCACATAAGAGTATGCCAATTTTTGTGATTAATCATTTCAATAAGAAATAAATAAATTCTTTAAATTTGTGAATTGTTTTCCAAATAATAAATGTAATATATGTGACTTTTATTGTTTTAATTAAACACATTATCATTTTAAATAATTTATTTAAAATCATAGAAAATTTTAAAATGCTTTTTTATGCTGCAATATTTCAAATGCATAAAATAACTGATATTAACAATATCTAGTAAATAATCACTCATATTTTATATTACATCCACAATGGAATGAATATTTGTACCCGACTATGCTAATAATATTGCTATTTGTAAGGCATGACATCTATATGTATGTCTGACAATAACTTTTACAAGTTGGAGAAGGATGTGGGGGGAATTCTTTATATAACATTATTATGAGGTAAAAGGTATGTAACCAGAGTATGTTATTATTAATATTTTAACTAGATATACTAATAAACTGTTAAAGCGACAAGGTACCATTTACATGTCGTTGCACTGCACAAGACTATCTACGGTAATATTATAAGTAGAAAGATATTTTAATTAAGCATAAATTATATTACAGAATAATATAAATAAAATTAAGAATTAAAAAAAAAAGAATTATATGACTGCAAATTGGAGGTACAAAGCGACAGGTCAGGTAGAATTTAAGCATATGTATTACGCAATTAAATAGTTAACGATTTAATTAGATGCTGCAGTTATATTTATTGTTAGGTTAATCCACACAGAAATAGCGGAACTAACAGTATAAATAATATGTAAATTGACAAGTACAGAACATCACTTTACCACGCCTTTTTAGCAAATTTTGGTAGGTAAATATATCCATCAAATTTTGCGGATATTTGAACATAGCTAGACACTTTTAATAATACTTATTAAAACAGGAAATTTTCCCATAGCCAATTAAAGATTATAAATGGTATGCTAATTCTAAATAACCTGTCTTTTATATCTAGAAAATAAAAAATAAAAAAAAATAGTTAATGCTAAAACATTTGTCTTTTCAATACTTCTGTACACGACACACAAGGGATATAATTTACAATTTATGAAAAGCAATTTTATTAACAACATTATAAAAATTTAAATTGAACAAGTCAACATTTTCTATATTTATAACAATTTGTTATTTAAAACTATCAGCCGATATGGCAGTGTTTTAGTGTCATATTTTACAATATAATCGTCATCATAATATACAATTTGAATACTTTGTATAGCGACTATTTAAAAAAAATACGGCATGAAAACCAGTGCCTGATCTTAGATACTTTGCCGCTCTTTAACAGCAAGATAAACTTTATTTTGCCATACTAGGCAATTGCCTGGATTGCTCTTCACTAGATCGGGACCTGATTGGAACACTTACAATCATTTAAGCACAAAGTAACCCGTAATTATAAAATACTTGTAAAAACATTCCTTTAAAAAAAATCGCACAATACAGCTTATCCTAAACTCAGAATATTTGATTTAGCAGTTTAAAAATATGTTTTGGTTCCTAATAGATGTTAAATTTGGTATGTAACAAAAAAAAATAAGCTTTTATAGTTTGTTCCAAATATTTAAATTCTAAACATACGTAAAACATAATAAAACAAATGATTGTACTAAGATGTTTTTTTTTCATTTTATAGGTTACACCATATTTTAATTCCTAAATTCAAAACAAGTCAAACAGTAAAAACTAATCCGCAATTAATTGAAACTTTCAACATGGATTAAGAATTCTTTCAAGTCTATTATCATTATTATTCAAGGACATTTTATACCTTCTAAACTGCTAATCAATTATTTTCATTCCCCACACTTTTTCATTCCTAATTATTTTAACTAAAATAGTTTCACAATACTAAGTTGAAGACTAGAATTGGTACGTTTTATTGGAAGAGATAAAATCTTTTGATAATTTTTACATGTTCAAATATAAATTCGAAGTTATGAAGAACAAAAAAAAAATTACAATAAATAAAAAATAACAATGTTATTTTTTTAATCTAGTGTACTACATATATGTATGAACAATGAACATTTGACACATGATAAAAAAAATAATTTAAAAATGGTAACACAATGAGATGAAAAGATATATGTCTAGATTTTCATAATTGTAATGTGTCCACACTCCTATAAAATAATGAAATATGTGTTAGTACTTTGACAGAAACATTACTTATAAGATCTTATTCACACTTCGATCCAGTTGTTTCGCCGAGCCCACAGAAAAAGCACAAGTGCTAGTGGCTGAATAAAACAGATATAAAGATAATATAAAGCCGTTTTCTTCTAGACTGATTCGAACTTGAATTTCCACCGAATCTCGGTTAGTTGAGTATTTACTTATCAAGCGGACAATGTAGTGGAAACTCTGCTTTACATACATGTCAACTCCATTTAAATTACTATAAATTTGTATATTCGCCTAATATTTTATTATCTAGAATGCTTGTGTCAACTATGTCGTTGTTGCGTCGGTAGATGCCAGGTCGTTAATGCTAACCCAATGACGGTTCCGGTAAGAGCAGCTGCGCACGCGCCGCATTCAAATAATAGCTTGGGTGTAAACACACCCCATATCATGAGATGGCGACAGTGGATGGTAGCTGATATTGCACTCGCGAACACCTGTTTATCAAAATAAAGCAGATTGGTATTGTTATATATACAATCTTAGCTTACTTAAAATTTGTTTCTGGTAGTTTTAGATATCAGACTATTCAGAGAATTCGACTATGATCCTTAACAAACTTCGATAATAATAATTTTTTAACAGTTATAATTATGACTATTAAAAAATTTAATTTCAGAGTTATGCAAAACAAATTCTATTTATGATACAAAATTCAAGTCACCTTAACTATGATTTTTATCACTTGGTGATGGCTTTATTACCATCAAGTCGTCGAGAAGCTAGATTTTATTTAATAATGCCCCATTACGAAAAAAATATAAAAAATGAAGAAATAATAACATCTACATACCCTAACGGCGAAACAGATCGCAAATTTGAGAGAAAGAATGAAGGCGGCAGCGAGCTGCGACCGCGGCCCTACAGCCGCACCTCCGCGGCTCCACAGTACCAACAACGGTAGCGCCGCCCCAAACATCAACGGCACACCTAAAATACACATTTTTTTATTAAGCAACTTATTCAATATACTTTTCAATCGACTTCTAAAAGGAAGTTTTAAATTAGGTTGCATCTTTTTTGTTTGTCACCTCATAACTTAGTCAAATGTAAACGGATTTGGAAAATTCTTTCTTCTTAACTGAAAAGATATAGATTGGTCCCATTGAAATTTTATCAAAATCGGTTTAGATGTTTAATTTTTAAATCAAAATAACTAGTTATGACACAATTGAACTCCGTTTTTTATTGGAATCCCATTTGCTTGATTCGCCACCTTTGTAGTATTAAAAAAAAATATATAAATAGAAGGCGCAATTTATAGCAAATAGAAATGTGAGTGACAGTGAAGAGAGAGAGAGAATATTTAAGGTTGGGTGTTTTTTATTTATTGGATTGATATTACTAGCTAGATAATTGCTAGAATGCCTACCTATATCATATTCATGCCTAAAATAATTAATTTACAAAAGAATAAAAAAACATACCAAAAAGGTCAAGAAACACGAGAGAGCCGGTTACTTGGGGCCCGATGGGCAAGTAATTAGGATCGCCAGCGTGGAATGCAGGCGCCCAGCGGATATGGCCAAGAGTGGCGTGGTGCCCCGTACCGTAGAAATAGTATGACGCAAGCAATGCCCATAAACACGCTACACTAGAGCTGCACCTAGTCAATAAAGCTGAAAAACATATATTATTTTAACATAAAATAGAGATCAAATACCTATGCTAATATATATATATATATATATATATATATATATATATATATATATATATATATATATAATGTAATAATAATTTATTAATTACTTTAAACTTACAAAATTTTGTAGACCCTTCACTCTTCATCATAGGCACGATATTTAGAACAAGAAACCCTGATAAAAGAGCAAGCGCTGCTGAAGGCGCAAATGCCGCGCCTAGCACCAAACTATTTGCCACATAGAGCAACAACCCACAAACCGTTAAAGGTAAAGTTGCATCACGATTTTCTTTCCTCCACAGCAGAACGAACATAGAACCTAGCACAAGCCAGGCACCGCGAGCTAATAACCTCGACCTACTTGGAGAGCCGAGACTACCCCAGCCGACCGCCCAATGAGCGCATGTAAATAAACCGGATAAGACTACTCCATGTCCCCGCCAGCCGATATGACGTCTAGCAACAGCTACAGTGGCTGCTACGGATCCCAGCGCTAATACTAACGCCGCTCTAGACGCTGGACCGGCGGAGGCTCCCCCTCCTTGAGTCCAACAGTCGCCCTGTTCTTCTCTACATCCTCTATAAGATCTAGACAGAGCCAGAACAATCCCGCAAGACGCCCACAATGCTAAAGCTTTGATTGTACCGATGTTCCAAACAATTGTTGCCAATATTGATAGCGAAAGAAAGGCAAGACTAGCACCTTCTTCTATAATATAGCTATTAGATACTAAAATAGCTGCTGATCCAACGAGAGCTGCTCTAGCAAAACGCTCGTAAAAGAGTAAGCGGGTTTCGTACCATCTCTGGGTAATGCCATTCCAGTGCATGATGACAAGTGCACAAATTAATGCTCCCGAAACAAGGCCAGTGCTCAAGATAACGGCGTGCTCCACATCCTCGAGCAATTGGAAATAAAATGCAGTATAACATATTCCTATACATATAGTCACTGAAATGATCCCACTTGGGATAAATGAACTGGCAAAAACATGTGGAATCTTATCTATAGGAAGACCTTCTGTTATCAGACAATTGAAAAATATTGCTAAAAGAAGCAATAGTAGAGCTCTCAACATTGACAGGGAATCGAATTCGACCCAAACATCTCTAAAAACTCCGCGTATGTTTTCTATCAATGTCCTGAAACAAAAATATTTCCTATTACACTTATGTTACGTTATATAATAATTTAGGAAGAATATTTCTTATCTTACCTAACATCGGTAACATAAACTGATAACTCAGATTCACTTCCAATTGTAGCAGCTTTATCTATTTGTTCTCTGGTAGCATTAATTAGGTGAGCTAGTTTGTCTAGAGGTATTTGTTGAGATTCTTCTCCATATCGAACTAAATACTGCTTTATCTGTAAAGAATATCAAAGAGAGATAATATTGTTTATATATATTTATGAGCACTTAAAGATTTAAATGAAATAATTTTTATTCTTAGCACTAATTGTAAAGATAGTAGCACAAATAAATAATGTCATGTTTTTTTTATACAACTTAGAATGGCAAACAAGCTGACGGCCCACCTGATGGAAAGTGGTAACCGTCGCTTATAAACATGAGCAGCAGCATGGATATAGCAGAGTATACTGTTTTGCCTATGATACCCCCCATGCGTTGACATTCCTGAGGACTCAAGTGTATGTAATTGTAGAGAAGGGATTATAATTTCAGCACATATGCACAAGATATTCTAATTCTATAGCATAAATTATGATCCTCTTTGCATTGTCACAACAAAATAGTGATATTGTAAGATGTTACAGTAAATAAGAAATACATGAATGTCGTTTTATGTATCTGTGCTTGCTATCATTATAGTGATTAGTATCATTATTTTTGCCATATTCTGACAATGAAATATTATATTAGTGGTATAATAAAGATTGCTATCAATTTATTTGAGAGCCAGTAAAAAGATAGCAAAATAATGCTTTGTTCACTGACCTGTTTCAAATTATTACTCAAATGTAATAAAGTATGCGAAATAGGTAATGTTGGCAACACTGGCAGTAAAATGTTGCCAAGGGATGGAGCAGGCGGCGGCCTACCGAGTGCAGCACTGAGTGTAGGCGCTAGATCTGTTTGTTGCACTTCTTTGCCTGGTTTGTTATTTTCTTTGTCACCACCTAGTCCCAATCCTCGGTATGCGAAGAATGCTGCTGTACGCTCCGCTTTACTTTCACCACCATGATCTCCTAAAGATTAATAAAAATCAGTAGAGAAGCATGGATATGTAGTTCGTAAATTGCACATGCAATATCAATCTGGCCTTGCCATAGCATTCTACAAAAAACTCAATAGTTTGAATTTAATATATAAAATGTATAAAAGTTTGTTATAGCCTTATCTGCTTACAAAAGTAAAAAAAAATAAACATCAATAAAAAATACATAATAATGCTTTAGAATCACACATATAATAGCAAAATGTATAGTAATAGCTCAAACAGAACTATCAAAAATACACACAATTGAAAACTTCTACTTTGTAAGCAATTCAGTACCATACCTACCCACAGATTCATTCCCTTCTTGTGAGTCTAAAACAATATGAAATGGTGCTTTTACTATAGTTATTAATATAATATATCACATAAAGAAAAAGAATAATTTTTCCATATGTAAAAACTGAGTGATGTTTTATTAAGCCCACATCTAAATATAACGTAGCCTACAGACATTTCTGCTTTACAGTAAAATTATAAGAATTAAGACAGAGGTAAGCAGGGGAATTTAGGGAAAAGAATTGTTAGTAATAGGTTTTAAAAGCCCTATTGCTAGCAATGCACCCCTATTAAATTGATCTCCCCCTGGAAACTATCATGGATAATTCTTGTTGAATTCATCATTATATAATCATAGGTCAATTGACCTGATTTCATCCTCAACAATCATCTTTTACACTGGAGACCCATCAGTGTATACCAATAGCACAGATGGGGTTAAGAAAAGCCAGGGAAATTATATAAAGATCTAGTACCCATAATTGTCTATGAATATTATGTAAGTAAAAGTTTGTATAATGTTATTTTAAATACTTGTTCAATATGACACATGCAGTGTAACTTGACTGGTCAGTCAGAAAATATTTAAATGAAATTTGGTGCACAGAAGAATCATAGATTAACATTGGACACTTTTAATACTTTAAATTATTACAGCTATATATAAATAAAACTGTAAAAATAGTTTGTTCACCTGTTTCAGTCATTCCATGGTCCCCAACAACATAGAGTAATACATCAGGAGGTAACATCTCTATTACTTTCTTTAATCTATTATTAGTTTCATCCAGTTTTCTTTTCATCTCGGCATGATTAGGGCCATACCTATGTCCAGCATGGTCTACACCAAGATAATGGGCCACAAGTAAGTCCCAATCATCTTTCTTCAATTCATTATATATTTTTGAATCCACTTCTACAAGTAATTAATAAGTAAGTAATACAGTATTATACTAAAGTCAAAGATATTTAAAAGATGTTAATATAACATTTTTTTTTTAATTTTAAACAATAAAATTAAGATAGAAAAATAAATTTTTGATAAGGAAAAACAAAATTTTAGTCATTATATTTATGTTTAACATTAGGAGTATTTAAAGCAATTTATTGAGAAAATTTTTAAAATATATGAATTTTATAGAAATAATTGTTGTCATTTTAATAAAAACAATACATAAAAATAAAGAAAATACTTATATAAAGCATTTTCTGTGTGCAATTAGATATTAATAGTTAAACAACCACTATATGAAATTGGTATTGAAAAATGTCTTTATAGTGATGGAGTAAAAGTACAATGTGTTACTATTATATTCTTATCTAGAGGAAAAGGTGACTCTGGGAACCAACACTATATAAAACCTAAAAATCTATACCAAGCTACTTGGTCAATACAATTACATTACTCTTCTTCTGAAATTAGGAGAGAGCCATGCTCAGGCAGGACCATCAGGAAGTTGTTGTGGTACATTACCTGTATCAACTGTGTCAAGGTCCCAGGTATGAAAAGAGTACATAGCATGAGATCTCAACCATCTGCCTGGTATTAATCTCGCCCATGTGTCATCTCCCAGCAACACTATTTTGCCACCAGCTTTTACAACCTATAGACAATATTTGTAATATTAGACTTTACTGCAGTATCAAACAATATAAGATTTTATATTTTATGAGACCTTTAGAGATCTACCATAGACAAAAAAAAAATAACTTAAAAAATGTAAAACACATTTTAGAAATGACAATACTTATATGTTCTTATACATACATAAGTAGAGATAATATTTGGAATTACAGTATTTATACCAATTTTTTAAGATAGTAATAATGAAATACCCTGTCTCTGAGTAATATACATTTTTCATAGAGCTTCTTATACAAATTGATAATGATGTGTTTAAGCAGATGAGGCCATATAAAATAACTGTTACTGAGACGAACACAGGTATTTTAGTAACATGGTTTCTGTTAGCAATACACCTTGTCATTTCAATGATCATACATGCCTCACCTTACTGCTTAGTAATTTCTGGTGAATTAACAATAATTAGTCATCTGATTTGATTTCCAAATATTATCTTTTATTGGTACCTCATCAGTATTTACCAATAGCATAGACAGGCGTAAGTATAGTGTCATATCCTTTTATAAACAAAATTTGTTGGTACTATACCTGATCAATTGCATTATCTTCTTGCAATTCCATTGCAGCAAAATTAGAACTTGCGTCAATAAAAGTGGGCAAAGAGCCGGTAACAAGCGCTTTTACACGCTGCAGTGTCGTAGTGGGTGGGTCTGCCATAAAACGAAACAACCTTGTGCAATTCGGGGAGCGTTCCAGCATCTCCTTTATTATTGGTAAACGGTTCTGATAAGGAAGAGGATTTTCTATGTCAGGATTGTACTCCGTAAAGTCATATCGTAGCGCATCTACTAGTAAGAAAACAACTCTTTGACGTGTGGGCGCGCACGCTATTACCGCGCCGGGGTTAGCTAAAATTCGTCGTATCTTCTCTTCTTTATTACATACATCAGTTGAGTTCCCTTTTTCATGACCATCACAGCCAAAATCTCGAAGAGGAACGCAATCAGTAACATCATTCAATGTTTTGCGGGACAATAAAAATCCACGCCCGAACATAAGAATTGCTGATAAAATTAAATAAGAAAACCAGAGGAGATATAAAGTGAAGTTCCATTTTTCTTTCATATTTGTTGTTCCTTGCTGTATATACAATTCATTGACAATTTTTGTCAAGAACGAAAGTAATAAAATAAATTATTTAGTAGAGATAAAAAGACAAAAAATTGGAAACTGACTGACTGTTCTACTCGTTTCGTGCAGTTTGCGTTTATGGTCACTGCTTGCTGACTTCCATCCATAGCTGTCATCTGTCATTATTACCGTCAGATGGTAGCTGTCAATAATTACGAATTGTTAGTATGGTTAATCTGTGGTATATAAAAATCTAAATATCCACAGATTACGAACAGTAGATATTTTATTCTGAATTATCATCATTACTTGTCAACTGCTGAAAGCCTAAAACCTAGCAAAACTCTCCTTATGGGTACATAAGGAGAGTTTTGTTAGTAGTGTCCATGCTTGGCAGGCGGTTTGCGATTTGACCGCTCTCCCGTCCTTATTAAAACATCTTTTATTCTGAATACAAAATATAAAAACAAAGGAAACTGTAAAATTATTTTGATATTGTATTACATTAAATTAAAATGTTTGATTTCATATTAAATGCAAAATTTTATTGTATCCTTAATTATAAATAGTACCTGTGGTTTGGGTGTAGGTACAGAGTAAAATTGTCAAACCGACATTGATATTTAGATCTTTGACATATTTCTTTGTCATTTCAAATTTAAAAATTAAATTGATTTCATTCTGGACTAAAATATTATTTTTTAGTCGTGTTTTTATTTAATAATTAAATTACTTACACTACAATTAATCAAGTATTTACGAATGAGATGATTTACTTTATGAATAAGAATAATGCTCTATCGTATATACCGTGGTCGGCTGACATTTAAACTTTATGTGATCATTGCTTTGATTATAATAATAACAGCATGCAGCTATTTGTTTCCACAATTTAGATTTTACCCTATCGCTCCGGTAACTGAACATCCAAATTCTCTGCATTCTCGTACGACACGTCATTTGTCTAAATTGGTGACTGTTGTTTTTCGACAATTTGAAGATTTTGAGAATGATGTCGCAGATAGCGTGCAGTCTTTTGTGTCGGCGTACCCAAACATGCCAGTGGTGGTGGTTTGTGATAGTACACCGTATCCGCCTTTCCCGTTCTCTGCTACCAACGAAACATTGCGGAATGTCAAGGTAGTATCTTTAGAGCTCAGGCTGGAAGCATCACCATCGGAACTTAATCCCCTTACGCATATACTCACAGAATACGTTTTGTTTGTTCCTGATTCTGTTCGAGTATCGCGCCGAGTATTGCAGCAAGCTGTAGTCGTTGCTACTGGTTTCCCATCATATCTTGTGGCTATTGGGATTGCTAATTCTCATTTGATATGTCAGCAAGTAAAATGGAACTATGTCGATTGGACCCTTCAGTATAATAAGGATGCTTCTGGAAAGCTATGTGATGCTGTTCATGGCCAGCATGCTTTGTTGATGAAGACATCTTTCTTACATAGTCTACCACAGCCTTTTGCATTACCCTTTCCAGAATCATTGTATCTCCAAACTGCAGTAAAAAATGTTAAGGTGAGATTTTGTAATTTATTAATTGTGCAATATTAATAATTTCTATTTAATTACACTAGATTTATAGTAAAATGTTTTATCATTTTTTATTTACAACAGATTATTTAGTTTTCAACCACTATTGAGTGGAGTACTTTTTGTCTTCTTTATTATACCAAGTGTATCTGTTTACTTATTTGTTATTGTAATTTATAGGTACAAATATTAGAGGGAAAATTGGGAGCAGGACGTAGCATGCTGAAGTCACCGGGTGCCAGGCAGAGAGTATCTCGTCGCATGAGAGACTACAGGGTGGCTCTATATAAGCAGCTTGGAGTAAAGGCTGTTGTTAGAGAGGATGGAAGAGTGCAGTGGTTTGGGTGTAAGAGAGAAACTCAGGTAAAGGGATAATAACTATATATAATGAAATATGTGTTCATGATTATATCATATTTTTTATAATCTATACTCTATTGTGATCTAACCATATGTTAGTTACTCTTTCTTGAGTAATTTGATAAGGAATTGTGTGATAATGGAATCTTTTCTCATTATAAATGATAAAAAAAAGCATAATTAGTAATTTTTCTTTCTTTTCGTCTATAAATATTAACTAGTTTTTGATTACCAAGTAGTTTGTTTTTAAACATTTAATGTGTATCTATTATTTGTTATTGAATATTAGTCTGATTAAATTTGTTTTAATTTATTTGTATATTATTATTATTATTTTGTATATAGCTATGTGCTACTACAATTTCTATTGGAAGAATGTGTGAAACAAAACAATATTGTATACTAGCAGTAATCCTGTAGCTTTACTAATGTGAATCAGTATATAATGTATCTTAAGTCCAAGTTAGGCTATAATCTACCATGTACCAAATTTCATTTAAATCCATTCAGTAGCTTTTGCATGAAAGATTCACAAACATCCATCCATTGTTACAAATTTTCACATTTATTATATTAATATGATTTTGCATTTATTTTCAGAGGTGTTTTCCGTCTGTCCAAGGGACGCCATCATATATTCTGTCTGGGCGCAATACGCCACCGTGTTGTCGCCGCAACATGCGTCGCTCGGCCGGACACGTACTGCATGCGTTATTACAAGCTGGGGCACGGTGCTGGCTAGAAACAACATCCTTACTTGGTGCAGTTGTCAGGTATATAACCTATTATAACTATTTTAACTCTTTGCTTTAAGTTTACTTATAATAAAGTGCATTAAACTGTATCAAAGTCCACTGAGTATCAAAATCTAAATATGTATTTATGGAAGTTTTTTTACCATAGGGAGACTGGGTACAAAAGTCGTTTTTTTGGCACCTCTGTCTCATTTGTGTTTCTACCATGAAGCAGTTACGTTTGCATAGCTGTGTTTCAGTTTGAAGGGTGGGATATGGCAGTGAATTTACAGGGTACAGAGGAATAACACCTGAGTTCTTAGGAATGGCAACACATGGGTGGTATCATGGGCGAAACAGTATATTCTGTTATGTCTATGGTACTGCTCATGTCTATAGGCAATAGCTTGCCATTCTAAGTTGCATAAAAAAAGAAGTTCTAAATTAAAATGGTTTCTAGAGTGGATAGAGTATTTCTATTTTTTTTTTTCAGCGGTGACTTGTTACCTTGGGCAGAGTATGTTGAAATCGGTATCCATGCATCAGATGTATCTCGAGTGTCGTGGCTCCAACGCGGCGGTGCTGACGCCGACGGTTTCGTGTGGGAGCGCGCCACGAAAGGCCATTACTATAGAGTCGCGTTTTCAGCAACAAACAGAGTGTATGTATTGGTGCTGCCATTTACCGCACGAAATGGTACCATGTGGCCAGCCGATTGGGTACTAGCCCATCAGAGGGAGTTCCCGGAACGGCATTTACATCCCCTAGCTCAGGTATGTTGCAATATTTTTTTTTTAATTAAATGGCTAGGCTAAGTTTAGGTATAGAATAGGAGACACAACACCTTAGTCCACAAAAAGATGGTAAATTACTGTTATGCAAATGAGGTACTGTCGGTATAAAATATGGTATCTATGGTGCTAGTCATGTCTATCGGCGATTGTTACTACTCTTCATCAGGTCGGTTGTTAGCTTGTTGGCTGTGCAAAGATCCATAAAAAAAAATTGTCATTATTTTTATTTGGTATTTTCATGTACTGTTACCATCCACTTTAACTATAAACATAATTATTCAATTAAAAAAATATCGGGCTTGTTAACAGTATTCTCAGCAATAATTATTGTCATTAAATATACTATAGTATTCTTATATTTTATAACATTTATAAAAAATACGACTACATTTTTTTTTTATAAATTTATTTACAGATTCAATTTGCTGGACGTCAAGCGCCGGCGCCGAATGATGCTCGAGCATTTCTAGATCTGAAACTAGGTAATGGTGCAGTCGAAAGATGCAATAGGATTGGCCCCAAATTACTTTTTCCCTAAGTTATTTTAGTTTTAGTATTATAATATAGGTTTTGATTTTGACCAAAGATTCAAGACAAAGTGTTTTTATTTTTTTGTTTAAAGGGTAAAATTCTATTTATTTTTTTATTTATTACATTTTAATACATCTAGAAAGTGTAAATGGCGGACTTAACACCATGTGGCGTTATCTACCAGTCAACAGTAAACAGGAATAACAGAAAATTCAATAATACATATATATTTTTTAATTATACTTGTAAAAAAAAAAACCAAAGGCGATAGCAATGTAAAAGTTTTGACTGCAATAAAATTGTATGTTGTTTGTTGTATAGATAGTACATACATGTAAAACTTTGTCCTAGGCAGCTATTACACGATTTATAGGACCATTTATTTACATGAAAATATTATTTTAAAATATTGATTACTGGATTGATGACTTTTTATTAGATTTAATTAGGTAATTATTGCTTTCTGGTAGTATGCCTTTTTCACGAATTATGCCATAGTGTCATGATTTTTATTGTATTGTGTTCATGTCTTTGAATGCTGTGACGTTTTTTAGATAAAATTTGAAAATACGCCATTATTTTATATTAGTCAGGCGAGCTAACAGTTTTTTTTTTCCAATTAGATAATGTTTGAATATTAATAAATTATAAAAATTACTTATATGTATTAGCACAGCGCCATCTAGTCCAAACTAAGCAGAGTTTGTGCTGTAGGTGTAAGTGATAATTCTTGAGAAATACTTTTTTTTTTGTATAAATGTAATATTATATTACCTACAAAAAAATACATTTCCATTTTAATAATAATAGTGTTAAAGATTATTGGTGAAAGTATCACAAGTAGAGTGAATATAGTAAGTCTTTTTTCTCTTTTCATTAAGTTTGTTGAAAAATAGTCACTATTATTTCTAAGTTTAATATAGTTTCTAATAAACTATGAAAATATCGACCAAATACGTGTCAAACACGCTTTAATTAGTTCCGTCGTTATATTTAAATATGTTACCATATCTTTTAGTCTAAATTAAACTTTAAAAAAGACATTTTAGGTTAAACTTCGAATCGAAAACCTTTTTATTATTTGATAGATTAAAGATTTTTTCTTTTCATTCAAGTGTTTGATTGAATTATGGATACATAATTGATGATTATGGAGTATTGCTTATTTTACCTATTTCTCATGGTCATAATTCTACACTATTGTTATATGACTATTACCTTGAAAAACAATTTATCTACTAACTTTATAGCAATTAAACCCACTGTGTCTTAATATAATTTGATATTAAATTAGACATATATTTAACTATGTTATCTCTTTGGATATGATTATAATATACTTATAAATATAGCTTAGACCTATTATTATTATTGTGATTTATATATTTCATAATTATGAATAATTTATGTCCTTATTTGGTTTATTTATGTTATTGACAATATAAATGTGATATCGTGAAATTTACTACTTATTTGTGGAAATTGGCAAATTAAATTCACTACTCATATGATTTTATTCTACAGCCATTTATAATCTGTAGAACTAATTTTATATTAACGATACAAAGCACAATAATAATGTATTTAAATAAAAATGAATTCTTTAAAATGTCATTTCTATTTTGAATGTTTTTTTAGGTTTTATCTGTTACAAAGAATCTTAGCAGAGAATACTCTATAGGATTGAGTACAAATAGGTTAAAACCGTAGTAGAAAATTTAATTTGTAATGAAAGCAATCAATTCTTACAGCAATTGATAGTTTATAAGGTTTAAATTGTCAATATTAATGTGGGTCTCCCCAATTATAGAATACAATTTTCGAGATCTCAAAATAGTCTAGTCATCTCACAATAAATGTGACATTATGTGTGTAGATAGTTGTTTTGTTTATAAGAGTTTATTGTAGTGTGAGTAAGCAAGTTTTGGACTGAACTTTTCAGTTACTCTAAGTTTTTACCTAAGATTTTTTTTAGGTAAATGTATAAAGTGTGCACTGATTCAAGACCTTGGTCAAGTATACCTTATATTGTTAATATTTTTTATGCTAATATGTTAATTTGAAAGCTTTATAAATATTTACAATAATAATCTCATATACAAGTAAAATGTGTTTTATTTAATATCATACCTACTTAAAAATCAATAATATTGTAACGCAATAGAACCTTATTAAATATTGTAAAAATAATAAATTTCAATCTTCTTCAAATTTCTCGTCGACGACTCCAGGAGTGAAAGGCGGATCGCGGACCAAACTCAGAAGTTTGTCTAGCTTCATAATCTGCAAAGAGAAACGGTAGTTTTTTTATAACAATAGTACCTGCAGTTATTATGATTTTACTATATTCTAAAGAAAATAATAGTTTGCATTATTTTCCCTTTATTTTATTTTATTTTATATTATTATTATTAAAAAAGAAATCTTGAAATAGTTAAAAATACGCAACATTTATATTTTTCTATAGTTCCAAAAACTGAGTATCGACTTCAGAGATAGGGTAAAAAACACAAGAAAAAAGTGCATTTTGTTTTTGTCTTGTTTTTTATTTGTGAATACTGGAATATAAAAAAAAAAAAAACTATTTTGTGTTTCAGTAAATTTATTACTGTTATTTCCAAACTAAAATATCAAAAATTCTTCAGTTTCATGATGTGTAATACAAGAACTTCTTGTTTTTGTTTCGTATTGAATGTTTTTATTTATTTAATACAGATACAAAATGTACCTTAAAAATAAATTTAAAAAATACAGACAAATATTGTTAATTTTGTATAAAAAAATATACGTAGGTTTTACCTGTAATGTTCTTTGGTCAACGCCTTGAGCTTTTTTGGGTGGTTTGCACATAACTCTTAGGTTAGGTGATAGTTTCAATACATGGCAAGTACCTCTATAAAAAATAAAAGTTGATTAAAAAACTAGTTTTAATAAAAAAAAAAAAAGAATATTGAGTCAATGCCCCCAGAGAGATTTGAACTCTCGACCCCTGGTTTACAAGACCAGTGCTCTAGCCACTGAGCTAAGGAGGCGATGAACGAAAATTTGAAATATTGTATGACAATCAAATACTCAAGTTCTAGATGAATTATGTAAAAAGTTTTACTGAATAATAAATAAAATAATCTACATAATTATTCTTCAGAAAAATAGGTAACATGTTATTATTAATATATTAATGTAAATATAATTTTAATTAAGGGGTAGCTGTGAATGTATTTTAAATTAAGTAGTTTTACAATATAATATTATTAAATAAATAAATAACAGGATTTCTTTTTTAATTTGAAAAAATGTATAGATACAATAATAATTAGTTCTTAAAATCATCGCTAGAGGCGCTATATTATACGTAACAGCACTGACTAGTTGATATCGACCTCGATACTATCAATTAACAAATATTTCGGTCAGATTTTTATCCTGTAATTTATTAATACGTATTGTTTGCCATTTCCTTTTAGATATGTGAATGTTATTATGATCATGTAAATGTTTTTCTGATATAAAAGTGATCCTTTTAGTACCTATTGTAGTCAAGTTTATGGGATAAGTAGAGAGAAAACGTCAAAGATCTTTATTCTTACATACAACTCATTTACTTTCATAAGCTTTGACTCGCCTTTAGATATAAATTATAATAGGTAGTTCTATTATTCTTTAAAACAGATTGATTTAGGTATATAGATACCTAGTACGGTTATTAGAACCTGTTTTACGGTAAGGTACTTACTTGGTGTCTCCACACACAATAACCGGTAGACGAGTGTTGAAGTCTAATCTTGTCAATTTTTTTGTCTTCTTAGAAACAACAGCTTGTATGCAGATGGGTCGATACTTATTCACATTTAAATCGTAAACGTACACCTGCAAAAAATATTATAATAATGTTCATATGTAGTTACTTATATTTTATACGATACATACATTAAAAAATAAACTCTAGATATTCTAGCTGCTTACATAATTTCGTATGTATTGCGGTTTCAAAAAACGGCTCTTCACAGTGTCGCCAGTATTTTTTTTTTGGCAATTTTGGTTAAAATTTTTTATCATGGAATTATGAAGAATTATACATTTTGGAGAGAAAGAAAATCGGTGATAGAGTTTTAGTATTTGTTAACTTTTAAAGTTAATAAGATAACTCTTAAGTTCAGCGTAAAGAGTGTTGTTTTTTTTTATTTCGTCGTTCGAGTTGTGGTCATTTGCTAAAATATAATAAGAATAGATAAAAATTTATGTTTAGTTAAAAGTGTAGGAAATACTCTAAATATTTTAAATTTATCGTAAACAAAAGACGTATGAAGCAACTCTGGTATTCCATCTAATGAGTATCAACAACTTCTAAAGTTATTTAAGTGTCGTAATCCTAAAGTGACTATAGAATGACATCATATTAGAGTTGCGCTACACTACGGTTTCTCTACGGATAAATTCTTGTCAGATTCTAAGACACATAACCAAACTCAGAGTGTAGGCTTCTCCATAGATCGCTCAGCGATTTGGAGATCGTTATTATATCATCATTATGTGACTGTATTTCTGTGTACATTTGTTACGTTTTTATTGATATTATTATCTGATTATATTGATTTCGTTTGAAATTTAATAGAGAGATTGCCTAAAGACCAAGGATAGACTTGTGGTGGCAGATAAGTATAATCAATGGGTGTGGCCACATTACATTTATACCTATAATAACTACTTGAAGGAAGTTAGCTTCATTGTAAATATGGAGTGCTGAGGTAGGTACTTCTTCAAAAATATCTAAATAGATAATTATATAAGTTGTTCATCCCAGGTCACATACCATTGTTATGTAAGATATGACGTTCACATATTTTTAATCTCTAAATACTTTTAAGTTGTAAATTAATACTAAACCTTTTACCTTTTTACCTTTTACTAACCATTGCTTAACCTTCCGATGGTCGCTGATCCGATTCATTCAAAAAGAACTTATGTAGGTATGCCCAAAACATTTCTAATTCTGATTATCAGGGAGTTATAAATGTTATGACGAATAAAAACGGATTTGAATTATGCCTACTGTAAGTAATATTTTATTTCTTGGATATTAAATGTTTATTAGGCAAGTAGTTAAATATAAAATAAAGTATAGAGGTATCCGAATTTATAGCACCTATTTGTTATTAATGCGCGGGGGACACGCGATGCTATGGATATTTTTTATTTGTTACAACACAATAACTTTTCAGTGTAAAACATGATCGAGTACGAACTTTCAGTCAGTTTAGATATTAAGTAAAACAGCATTAATAATTTTATTTGTCTAGAATAATAGTCAAATAATAATTAATTTTAATATATACCTACATTATATCTCATAGCGCCATCTATTCCAAAAGTGAGTAGTATGTGATTACAAAGAGTTTCACTCATGAATACAAATATTTGTATTGTGTGGGAATCGAACACGTAACTGTCGGAAGGCGAAGCACTTCATTAAATGGCTACACCGCCGAAGCAAGTATATTTATCATTTGCTTTGGAATGAAAATAATATAATATAAAATCGCCCGTATGTATTTGTGTATAATAATGATTTGTGTGGATTTGCCTTATAAAGGTCGAGAGAATTAGCTCACTTCTTTACTCATTTAGAACATTACCAGTTTTGATGTATTTCAGTAAGTATGGCGTATTAAATGAGCTACACATGTTTAAGCACAGATAATATAATGTTTAAGTACACGTGAATTTGTATTTTGTTATTTGAATAAATAAGAAGTCAAATTCTGCTCTCCCGATTCCAACTTTATTGTTACACATTTTTTTTACTTTGTTTGTCATTTTCTTTGTTAATGTAATGTTTTCTTTTGCTAGAAAATATTTTTAAAAATATCGCGAATAAGATTATGTTAATAATTAATAAACGACCAAAGAACGTAGAAAAATAGCGTTTATATAATGAAAATATGGATATTTAAAAAAATAATTATTTGGTTCTAGTATTTAGTGTTTCACTCACATCGGCAGTAGTTAGTATTCTATTACTCGTATTTTAATATTACTTTTAAAACTATTGTTATGAAAAATCATACGTAATACTGGATGGATTATAAGGATACTTATTAAATTGCCTTACTATAACAAAAACATTCAATATGTAATTCATCACTTATACAAATATAAAAAGTAACTCTAAATTTTTTTTTTATATAAACAATTTAGAATGGCAAACAAGCTGACGGCCCACCTGATGGAAAGTGGTAACCGTCGCCTATAGACATGAGCAGTACCATGGACATAACAGAATATACTGTTTCGCCCATGATACCCCCCATGCGTTGCCATCCCTGAGGACTCAGGTGTTATTGCTCTGTACCCAGTAAATTCACACCATATCCCACCTTTCAAACTGAAACGCAGCCATGCAAACATAACACGGTTGAAACACTAATGGGACAGAGGTACCCAAGCAATCGACTTTTGTACAAAGTCTCCCTCTTTATCGTTTCGTCCATTAGATTACAATTAAAAACTATTATTAATACAAATAGTTTAGGTAAACTTTAATTTAAAAACAAATATTTAATGTAACATTCAGATAGAGCACTTTACTATTGAAGCCAGAATAACAATTTTTGAGCAGTTACATTATGACATCATAAACCGGATAGAGTTGCTAGTCAAATATATTACTATAAATTAAAAAAAAAAAAACACCTTCAATAATGACAATATTAATATGTACTAACTGGGGAATAAACAATAGCGATTGTAAAAATAGTTATCGAAATCGGTTCAGTAATAGTATCTACTAGTATTACATTTAAAGATAACGATGTTTTATAACTACATTTGAGTATAATAAAGAACTGCACTTCAGTTGCAAATGAAGTCATAATAGAGAAGGTTAAGTTCTAAGTAAACGGTAGATAGTAAATACCTTTCCATCGGCAGTGCATGCAGCAAACACAGTGCTGGAGTAAGGGGCCCACTTCACGTCGCCCACTGGCGAGCCCAGCTCAAACATGAATAGAGGCTCACTGTGATCATCAAACAATAACATATTATTATTTTTAAAATTTATGTTCTTTTTTTAAATTCATTTTTATATGAACTAGGCAACACATTATTATTATAAAAAATCATTTTCGTTTTTTAAATTATTTGGATATAAATGAACAACGAGTGCGTTTAGTTGAGTGAGCTTTTTTGAGAGAGTAAAGTGTCTACGTCGCGTCGTAGCATTTCGTGTCACATTAAATGCTTGTCAGTGTACCGTACTCACATTGGAGAAAACTTCCGGGTGAAGCCAAACAATTGTTGGAAACATGAAACACAGTAAGTTCATTAAATTTTTGTAGTCAAATTATATACAAACTAGTTGTTGCCCGCGGATTTGCTCGCGAATACGTACGTGGTATCCTGTTTCTCCTTGAAGTAGAAATTTAACAAAAACCTTTCTTAGCAAACGGTTATGTTATTAAACTATTAACACGGTACTGCTCATATCTATAGGCGACGATTACCACTTTCCATTATGTGGGCTGTCAGTTTGTTTGCCATTGTAAGTTGTATAAAAAAAAACGACATTACAAATTTCAGCTTTTCCAACCTATTACTTTTGGTTGTGAATTGATAGTCACTAGGATATATTATTTATTAAGTATAGAGGATATATTAAACTATCAGTGTTTATATTAAAACTTAGTATCAAATAAGATTACAACTTACACATAAGAGACAAATTTTATATATTATTCTTATCAGTAGTTAGGCATTTGTCGACTACTTTCCTATTGCAAGCAATGTAACCTGTCAGGTCGACCTCCACACTGTCCCCCCTTGGAAAATGTCGCAGGTAAATCTAGAGGAATCTAGGAATTCATCAGGACAACTGCCGTCATCATCATTTACCATCTCTCTAGGAGATACCATTTCATTTATATTTATATAGATAATCAACAGCTGGTAGAAGTAGAATAATGAGTTATTGTAGTTTTACATACATTGCAAAGCCAATAATAGATTACTAAGTACATTTATAAGTGGTTATAGAAAAATGTTATATTTGTAGTTATATAAATTACTAAAATAATTAACTATTTTTTGTTTTATGAAATTAAACATTTCAGATATACCTACCTTATGAGATCATCTTTTAAGAAAATCCTTTAGGGGACGTTTTCTTAAATTTAGATTTCGATACAAATTCATAGAAGTAAACCTGTACATGTATTGTTACATAAATCTTTGTATAACCGAAGTATATGTAATATTTGTACCACTGACAGTAGCCTAGCCACTCAGTAAGGGGTAAATTTATTAATACTCACTCTCGCCCATCTTCCCATATTTTCACTCTCCAATCACCCGAGCAAGATGCATAGATGCTGTTATTATAGTGATTGTAGTGTATCCTGTAGACGGGCATGTGATGACCTTGTACGGAACGTACGTAGTTCTTGTTGTACTTCAGGGAACAAGTATGGACCATACCGTCCTCAGTGCCAACGAGGAATATATCAGCTTTCTCTGGATGGAAGCAGATGCAGCTGCCGCAGCCTGGTTTTTATATTATACTATTTTAATAACAAATTTAGTCAATATATTTATTGTAATATTTTTTTTTTACAGATTATTAATTGTTTCGAAATGCAGTCAGTATACTGTAATAACTTTTTATATTCAGAGATTCTAAGATAAAATATAATTCTAAAGTAATAAACTGAAATTTCATTATAAACACAAAAATAGCAACGCAATAAATGCATAGCAATAGTAGAAAAACCTATTTATATTAATTAAAATAATTTAAACCTGCAAGTGGTAAAAAATTGTGTAAAAACTAATAACGAGTCATTTCTTGTGATTCAAGCGTTTATAGACTACAATAATAATTTATTATTAGAGAAAGCCATATGGTTATTTAGAATTATTATCACTACATAAAAAGGTGGATATGGTGGATAATCTGTTTCTGACGGGTTCTTCTCAGCAGATAACATTCTGAACCTATCATCAAATAACGAACAAGGAGATGATTTAAAAAAGCTTGTAAACAAATATATTTGAATAAAGATAATTTCTAATATATTCTATTCTTACTGTTAATAGTAATCATGGTTCCATCAGGGCCCGGTATTGGTGGCACATTGGAACTGAGCGTGATGATGGTGGTGGCTTGCAGTTCTCCAGGCATTACCGCCCATTGTACCACACGTCCGTCGCCAGATATGGAGAAGAACGAAGCTTCTCCATCAATTAAACGAGCTCCCCAGCGTACCTAATAGTAGCATAAAGTATACTATAATAAATAGTACAAGATTATGCTGTAAAAAACAAAAGTTTAATTTAGACATACTCGTAAATGAAGAATTACCACTTTCACTTATAACAAAATTAATAATGCAAAAAGTATTAACAAATTTGGTTTACAACTGGTAAAGTTATCGAGTAACATACAACAAAAAAAAAATACCTTCGCTTTAAAAACACAACATAATAATAGTATATGAAGGGGGGAAAGGGATTGTTAGTAATGGAGACTAAGAATCCCATTGCTAGCAATATACCCAACCAGGTCGACCTTCTCATGGTTCCCCCTGGAAACTATCATGATTAATTCCAGTTGAATTTATCATGATGGGCTATCTGGCCTGTTTTCATTCTCATCGATCACCCTTCACTGGTGCCCCGTCAGCGTATCCCGTTAGCCCAGGCGGGGTTACCATTCCATTTTCATCCATGAAAAAAAAATAGTATATGAAAAGTATATAAAAAGAGAAGCATCGCAATCGACACAAATAAGTGTACTATTACGATTTGTAATTTATTATTATATCAGCCGTTAACTGACCACTGCTGAACAAAGGCCTTCCCCATAATGGAGGTTTTGCAAGTAGTTGCCATGCTTCATTCCATATTCCATTCAACCGCAGTTATTAGAGTTATGGTGATATTCTAAGAGGGCCTTAAGGGTTTTAAGAGGAGAAGTCGCTTCTTACGGCACCCACGGGAAAGGAAGGAGTGGTCCATCCTATGCCGAGGCCATACGGCAATTAGAGTCAATGAAGTGTATAATTTTCTATTAGCAATTTTATATTTTAATTATCTTACCTCCCAAACAATATTGCTATGTTTGTCTTTCACAGAGTCAGATTTATATTGATAAGACGATTCTAAAGTTAACTGTGCATTATATACGCATACATTTCCATCGTAACGTCCTGAAACAAAAGTATTAGAGAATAATAAGGATATAGTAGGACATATATCTATTTGATAACCTATAGTTTGTAGTTTTACCCATGAAATCGGTTTACTAATGAGGGGACATGGTGTAAAGCTCTGTATGAATAAACGATTAACAAATACCTAAACCCATATTTAATCATTAAAAAAAGCGACTTCGTGAATACACCGATAAATTACAAAATGTTTCGTAGACATATAAAATTGAAGAGAGTCCAATAGTGATATTACATATACATTAGTATATTTTGTAGACAAAATTAGATTGAATATATTCGAGTTTGAAATTCAGAAGCACTTTTCTATCGAAGCGAAATCGCCATAACTCCGAAAAGTGGTAGGTTTGTATTTCCTTCATTGGTACCTTGCTATTATATAGCGTTGTCACAGTTGGGTGCACCATTCCATCTAAAATCATTAAAGATTGTAGGTACTAAAATGCAATTATAATTTATATTTGTTTAAATTTATGATCGGGGGCTTAACGCGACTCGACTGTAGATAAATAGTACCTACATACCTGTTTTTTTTTTGTTGCCGATGTTTCGATGTGGATTATACCACGTTATGATCATAGCAGGACTGAAGTTATAAAAATGAGGTAAGTAGGTGCTATTCGTTTGTAATTGCTTAAGATTAAATCCCGATTATGAATTTAAATGTGCGTAAACGACGCAAAAGTTGAAAATTAATTTTATACTTACCAACACAAACTAGATAAGGTATTTCATGATAAACGTCCAAACATATTATTGGTGATTCTGTGATGACCGCGTACTCTGGGTACGCGGGATTTTTGATGCTGTACATGCACAGGCATCCTTCCTTCTGCTGGTTGGTGAAATCCACTGATAACATAGTGACAAAAAAAGCCGGTCAAGTGCGAGAGAGATTGAAAGAACATTTCCAAAGAACGATAGTGATTTCTACTGTATTATGCTTTCATTAAAAGATCTAATATATCATGTTTTATAAGGTTTTAAAATATACTAACATGAGCCGTAAGCAACAGCGAACAGATCCTGATAATGTGGGTTCCATTGTATGTCGCAGACGGCATGAGTGCGCATTGGATCGAACTGGAACTTCCAAAGAGGCAGAAGAGACCCCATACCCTCGCGGAACTCATCAGATGGGTCGTCCCAATAGCGGTAATCTTGGGCTATAAATGTAGTATTATTTTATAATACTTTAATTAACTTTCCCCCCGAATGTAACACTTGGCATGTCATGTCAAAAAAAAAATAAGGTAACAAACATTAGGTAAATACGTACCAATATCATCATAGATGTTTTGATTTACCAATCTCTCTAATATCGCCCACGCTTCACGGATTCTTTGGGCCAATTGTTCGTCGTGAATTTGTTGAGCAGACTTTGCGTGTTTAGCAGCTTTCTTTCGTAACTATCCACGATACAAGTCAAATTTATTAAAAATATATAATACATGTAACCAAAGACAACAGTAATTAAATAAGCTGTCACATAAAAAATAAGTATTCAAAGAATTAACAGTATCATATACAGACAAAATAGACAAACAAAAGGACCAAATATCGAGTCTCTTTTTTATTGCTACTTTAGTATTAAAATATTAATCTTAAAAATATTCTTCATAATATGACAGACTGTTTCGCAACGAGAATATCTGTGTATGTGTGCCGTGTGGTCCCGGCATAGAATAGGCCACCCCCTCCTTTCCCGTGGGTGTCGTAAGAGCCGACTAAGGGAGGGCGAGGGATGGGCAGCAGCGTTCCTCTTAATACATCTCCAAAACCTAGCTGCGATTATAAATCCGCTTGTCAAGCGTGATAACTGCTGGCAAAATCCCTCTAGGGGGAGGTGTATGTTAATGATGATATCTGTGTATAAAATACTAAAGCTTAAATAAAAAAAAAATGTACTTAGAAATCTGACTGAAAGTGCATGTTAAGTATACGTACCCTTTTAGGTTTCTCTTCTTCCTTCTCTTTGAGCTTCTTTGCATAGTCTTCTTGGTAGAAATCGAAGATAATACATTGTAGAGCAGTAGCACCATAGTTAGCTCGAGGTGGAGGAACTGTTTGAGTGTCCACAGACTGAGAAATATATTTAAATTAAATATTTAAAATAATATTCATAAATCAAAAACTAGGAGTCTATTACTCTTACTAATTGATTTTAATAAATATTAGCTGGATTTCAATAAAAAGTCACAAATTAATAATTAAATAGAGTCGAATTATTGAAGGCATATCTATATTTTTTGAATTACTGAAAATGTTCACTTCGTTGTTATAAAAGCATAAACTTTATCAGATACTAATTCAGTCAAGTGATTGAATCAGTATCTGATATAGTATAGCAATAAAGTCAATTTTGTCAGTTCTTTCTGCATGTTCTTCCTACAAAGGATTTGGTATAAAGGGGTTATCATGGGCGAAACAGTATACTCTGTTATGTTCATGGTACTGCTCATGTCTATAGGCGACGGTTACCACTTTCCATCAGGTGGGCTGTCAGCTTGTTTGCCATTCTAAGTTGTATATAAAAAAAAAACAGACTGTAAAAAATTTGAAAAATCTATGCTTGATATAAGAAATTAAAAAAAAAAAGAAGTCATACTGACACGTCTTGGAAAGTTGTACGTGAGTGCAGCTCTTTCACAAAAGTTGAATTGGTTGGCGAGTTTCTTCACTCGAGGCTTTATATCCAGCACCTCATCAGATCCATCATCGACAGGTTCCTCTTCTATATAGCGTGTAAAAATAACAATTGTTTCATAATAATATCTTGATCACAGTAAGAATCTTATTTGTGGCGAAAGTTCAAGTTAAAAGTGTATGAAGTTAACAAATGTAAATTTAGCGATGGACAATGAACGTTTTAAAACAATGATAACAAACAGTAAGTAAATGTAGTGCAGAGATAATTAAACAAATAATATATTATACATAGAAAGAGAATAAAAAAGCATAAAGAAAGATGATCACAAATAAGAATACAAACAAAAAGGCAAAGACAAGTAAGTGATTACATACTCGTATTTGATGTCTCATGGAAGATACATGGAAGATCTTTACAATAATATTGAGCATCTTATACAATAATTGCTTATTAGTCTATAGCTTACAGATATAAAGAAAAAAGAAACCTTTGATAACACTAGTTAATTGATTAGAATTATGTTGATTAATTTTTGAACTTTAGTAATATAACATCTAGTTCAGTACAACCTTTGAAAGATATTTGCATAAAAACTTTATGAGATGTGATAAGCAATATACGTGCTTATTTAGTACATAATAATCCTAACTTTGTTCTGGTTCCGCTTCTTCTCCTCCTTCAGCTGCTACAGTTTCATCACCTTCTACTCCAACTTCAGTAGGTTCAGCAGGAACTTCAACTTCAGTAGGTTTTTCTTCTTCGACAACCGCATCCTCTATTACATAAATGGAATGTTACACAAATTTTTCAAATAAGATGCTGCAAGTTTAGTAAAATATTAAATAGGTACTGTGTTTGGTTACATATTGTTATTCGGTATCCAAATTTTTGTTAATTATTAGATTAAAAAAATTGACTACATAAAACAAAATATGTAATGCATTACATAGTATATAATACCTTCTGGTTTAGCTTCCTCAGCTGCTGCTGCTGGTTCAGCCTCAGGTTCTTCTTCTTCCTCTTCATCAGCAGCTGATTTCTTAACTTTTGCACGTTTAGGCCCAGCATCGTCGAATCCAACCATACCTTATCAATAACGAATAATTAGTTGTCTGTTTATATACTGGATGTATAAGATATCGTTAATTTTAAAATTAGATAATGGTATATAAATGTACTAGAAGCTAAATATAGTTTTAAATCATGAGTAATATAACAAATAAAAAAACAAACGAGCTAATGTATTTCAATAAATTGAACATTTCGAAGTTTTTTACTGGTTTTTTGATTGAAGGCATATTAGAATTATTATTTCGTATACAATAATTACCGTAACCTGCTGCTATTTGAGCTTTTGCCTCGTCGGAATCTTTGCGAATAGCTGTTCCTTGATATATGTACAGAGGGTATGCTTTGCCGTAGGTAGGTTTAGGTTTCGCGACAAACATCGCGCGGCCATAATGGTAGGCCACTTCGTCGGGCACCCATTGAGGGTTGACGGTACACAGTACACGACCCACTTCTTCTTCCAAGTCCTAGTATATTTTTTTAAGTACGGTAAGTATCACGGGTAAGAACAGTCATTACATTATATACTTTTTTTATGCAATTTAGAATGACAAAGAAGCTGACGGCCCACCTGATGGAAAGTGGTAACCGTCGCCTATAGACATGAGCAGTACCATGGGCATAACGAAGTATACTGTTTCGCCCATGATACCCCTCATGCATCGCCATTCCTGAGGACTCAGGTGTTATTGCTCAGTACCCTGTAAATTCACTGCCATATCCCACCCTTCAAACCGAAACACAGCCATGCAAACACAACTGCTTTACGGTAAAAACACGAATGGGACAGAAGTACTCAAGCAAACGACTTTAAACATAATACATATATTATCTCACATAAATATATTTAATATAAATATATATATAGCTATGACCCATAGCGTCTATTAAAAAGAATATATATAGAAATATCAATTTAAAATAAAAAAGAATTCATATTAATTTGAAGAATTTCAAAGGATCGTTGCTCCATGGAACTCGTTAAGATTAATGTAAAAATATGATATGTCAAATGAATAAATAGTTTACCAATACTTACTATATTATTTATGCTTTATTTTTGTAAATATTTATGTAATTGATCATGTTTTTTATTATTATTAAAGAGATAAAGCATCTAACATAATTTTAGATGATATAATAGACCGCATTGTAAGAGAATATCTCTTATAGATGCATACAAATATGATTTGTGTATATGATGTGTGTTGCCTATATGTTAAAACGAAAAATTTAATAAATTAATAGTAAGTATTTAATACACTGATTTTATGCTTACAGCTTCTGAAACTTCTTCCTGATCATCAGGTTTGATGAGTGCACGAGGTTTGAGCCAATCCAGACCTTCATCCTCAGCTAAATTAGCTCGTGATTTAGTTGCTTCTTTTTGCTAAATAACATCGATATGATTAATTCTGAATTAACTATTAGTATTTCAGTACAATAAAGATTATAATACTTTATTGTATTGAAAATTACAATATACAATAATTTAGAGTTACAATAATTTACATTCACAGTTCAACAGTAAACATTCATAACACTTAAAAATTAATAACATATAAGTGCTTAATATGACACAAACATGTTTAACCACATACAAATGATAATTGTAGTTGAGATTGTGATGACGAGAGAATAATAAAGGCACTTGGGGTAAAACATACAAATGTGCTGAACATTGCAATGGAAATGTGCAAACTTTACGTAATTAAATTAGATTTAATTGATATTTTTAATTTTAAAATTAAAAATATCAATTATAATAATATTAGTATTTTAGATATTAATATATAGATGCTCAGTATTTGAATATATGTATATTGATATTCATTTATTTATTTTAAGTAATTTTAGTATGAGATGAATAAATACGTATTTAATAAAGATCTATGTCGCAAATTTGGACAATTATGAAATCTGTCCAAATTTGACGCACTAGACGCAAAAGATAAAAGTTTGCTGGAGTATTTGTAAAAAGAAATTAAAAAGGAAAATTAAGACATCAGTAATTATATACGTATATAGAAGAAATAAATCATTTAGATTGGGGAGGTGTACCTACTACGTCATCAAACTGTAGCAAAGTTTTCGTAATTAGCACTGTATCTTGATCGGAATGGAGAGCTTTCTTTACCATAGCCTTCAACATTTTAAATAGCAACACTGTTCACTTTAAAAAGACTGACAATAAGTGAGCACGCAAGCGTTAGTTGCTGTCATATCAAGTACTGGTTGTAAACGGATTGTGAAGCTTGTAGATTTATGACAAAATATTTCAAGATATATTTGCATATAGTTACGTCTTTATTGGACACTATCATGTAATACGTCTGAAAATAATTCAAGGTACTTTCGACTAACCAAAACAAGCGTAAACAAACGATTACGGCTATTGCGTGCTCGAAGTATGGATATTAACGTTATTTTTAATTTCTGTCAACTGGTTTCGTTCACGAAAAATATTAAACATTTTCTACTTACGTCATCATCTGAATCTAACTCGAAAGAAGAATTTATTTCTTTTATTATTTCTAACTTATCAGACATCGTCTATAATTTTATTTGTTTAGATAATAAATCGAATTAATAGTAATACCGTTTTGCAGTTTAAACACAACATCTAATATTGTTGACCTATACACGACTATTCCGTTCGGATGGCTGTGTTTATTAAAATTATACTCAGCAGAGTGTAAACTGCATTAGGTACATTAGCTAAGATAGTCGGTAATGTACACGAGTAGAGATTACAAAAAAAGAAATATTTATGAGAGATTGTAATTTTATTTTTACTGAGCAACAAACATCTAAACATCAATAGGTTCGAAAACTTTTATGATTGTATTAGCAGGACTCTGGATTAAAATTAATTTCAATTGAGTAGCTAACACAACGAATAATACTTATTGTTTATGTTATATACTTACTTTGTAATAATATAAATGTAAATAGTAAATGATTTAATAATAACATTATTTACGTATACGAAGGTATTAATATATTCGCATAATATTTTAATTATTCCATTTAAAAATATTTTACTAAATAGAATTACATGATAATATTGTTTGAAAAAGAAGTATCGATTATTGATTTCATCATAAATAAATACTGTATTAAAATTTAGTTTCGGATATATCAACTGGAATGGAAGACACCTGGGTATCAAGAAGGCATAACAGTTAATTTTTTTCGAATTCAAATAAAATTTAATGCAGAATGTTGTTGTTTTAATTTTTCAAATTTTATTTATGTTTTTGTGGACCGTATAAAGTTTGCAAATAACTGGCCACGCTGGCTGGGCGTGTCGCCAAATTCTAATTAGTCCCCGTGTCTGGCGTAAGGTAGCACTGGTTGTATAATGCTGGCACAGGGTGAAATCACGACATCCCCGACATCAGTACGTATAAATTAAAATTCACCTTTGCCACAAAACTGGTAACCATTTCATCCGATATCGCTATGCAGGTAAGACGTGGAATATTTTTAATTTTTCTTATTAATTAATATTAATAAACAAATACACAGAAATGTAGGTACCTACAACAGTAGGATTTCAAGTAAATGGATTTAAGTACTAAACTTTCTATTTTTATTTTATAGCTTGTGAATAGTTTCGTATATGTAACCAGAAAAAAATAATTGCTGTATGTAAAAGCATTATGGAGATTATTATTATTAACAAATGAATATATACTATAATATTAATATTTCTTATAATAATAAAATACCTTTGATTTAAAATAGCTTAGCTACTTCCTTTTTCTTTATATCTAAAACTGCTTTTTTAGTTTGGGTGATAGATTAAAAAGAAATTCATAAAAGTTATTATCAAAGTCGTATGTATCATCATCTTTATAAATCAGAAAACAGTGTTATTTCCGCAGGTATCTACTACTTCCTCTATGAATATATTATTAAAATGAATTAGTCAAAGCATTTGTCTTTGAAGATCGGTATTATTTTTTGTTTTATTTTAAACATATTATGCGCATCGGATTACAGAGCGCCTACTATGAAATATTTTCCGAAATTTCGGGAACGAACGAAACAAAAATTTGATGTTAAAATTACGTAATATATGCCGTTTAAAATTATTAAAAATGTTAAAATATCGTTCCTCTGGATTATTAGGATAGGATTTATGATGAACGAAATGTTAAGCTCCATTTATTTCGATTTCGGTACAAACAAAAACACGAAATTGAGCCCGAAAATTTGGAATTTATTTAATGGTAGACCACCAGTTATCTAAAAATGTACCATAGGTTTTAACAGAATAATATTTTTAAAAATACTAGCTTTTATTCGTGAATTCGTTCGCGTGATCGGTATATATTCACTGAGCGGGATAAAAAGTATCCAATAACCTTCTCCATCCTACATAACACGTCTATGAAATTTGGTAAATTTAATAGTTACACCGTTATGATGCCGACAGGTAACGAACAAAATTACTTTTACCTTTTACATATATAATATTGTTAAAAATGAAAATAATAATTTCTATATCCATTACAAACAATAAACGAGAAACTCTATTAGATTATTTTTAAATACCACAGAGTATCCTATTTTCGTATCATTTATCAGCTTAAATATATGGAATTTATTACGAATTTTAAGTCAATAAGAAGTAGAGATTTATGTACTACTTTTACACGGATATGTTTACTGACAGAGCTAAAAAATAGCTTATACTCTTTTCCATCCCACACAATACGTGTATATCAAATTTTATATTGATTGTTTAAGTTATTACGGCGCTATAGGTAACAAACAAACTCGCTTTCCCATTTATAATATTAATAAGGATTATGTACCTAAAATAGAACCAATTCAATGATTTTATCTATATAAAAATAATGATATCACGTGATTATCGCTTGCTACACCAGGGGGTCTACCATGAAATGAAATTCCGAATTTTCGGGCTCAATTTCGTGTTTTTGTTCGTACCGAAATCGACACAATAAATGGAGCTTAACATTTCGTTTGTCATAAATCCTATCATAAAAGTTCAAAGGAACGATATTTTAGCATTTTTAATATTTTTAAACGGTACGTATCATGTAATTTTAGCATCAAATTTTTGTTTCTTTCGGCACCGAAATTTCGGAAAACATTTCATGATAGGCCCTCTGGTTTAAATATGCCTGTAATATGCTATTTAGACGTAAAAAGTTTATGTTAAAGAACGAAATAAAATTGGAATGTTGTTTGTAGATTCAAATACAACGTGTAAGGCTAAATAAAGTTGGTAATGGCTGTGATTCGAGAGTAGTAATTTCTTTGGCATAAATATAGAGAACGACAAGCATAAGGTTTTACGATTGGGCTCCGTCCTCTGCCCGTGCGTCAGGGTTATTGCGTGTCACATAGGTACCGTACGATCGATCGATTATTAATATTGCGATGTTCTGATAACCATTATCGTGATAATAAACAATACAACGATATCTGCACTCTAAATGTTTTTTTAGTTTCATTGTACGCTCGCTCGCAAACTACAGAAGACATTTCAATATTGTGTGTTTTATTTATGAATTTTAAATTTCTATGTATGTATTAGATATAGTAGTTGATATAAAATTTTACAAATTCATACATTTTTGATGCTATTAATATTCTTATTTGCATATACTCGTATTTGAATAATATATAATAATGTTTTATTTATTTATTCTTTATTAATCAAGGCATGAATGATAAAGTGCATACGTTTAATTTTGGTGATACAGTTTTGTATGCTAATCATTTTAGTTTTAAATGTGCGCCCGCCATATAAGAAATGATATTTGTTTTATATATATATATATATATATATATATATATATATATATATATATATATATATATATATATATATATTAGTAATAGAAGTAGTTTGTTTTCGTTAAAAATTAAACATTATAAACATATGTATGTATATATGTATATATTTATAGGCGACGGTTTCCACTTTCAGGTGGGTCGTTAGTTTGTTTGCCATTCTAAGTTACATAAAAAAACATGTTTAATTTTTTTATGGCAAAATACTTTATATATATATATATATATATATATATATATATATATATATATATATATATATATAAAGTATTTTGCCATAAAAAAAATTAAAACGTTTTTAGATGCCTATTATTTAAATAAATTTTGTTCTTTTCGGTCTTAGTTATAAGGTTCTATTTCTATTTCAGATATCAACGATATAAACTATGTTAGTAGCAAATTTTAGAAATAATTGTTTGTAGTGAGTGTGTACGTACTATTACTAGACAGAAATAATATTCACAGAACATCACTAACGCAGGAGTTAAAGCGAAATATAGACATTATTATAAATATTGGTTAGGTACTATACTATATTGTTTTAGCTGTGTGGTTCCAGCATGGGCCTCCCCTTTCTTTCCCGTGGGTGTCGTACGAGGTAACTAAGGGAACTTAATGGTCGAGGGATAGGCAGCAGCATCCCTATAAAAACATCAACAAAGCCTAACTACGGCTATATTCAACAGTGAATAGTTAACAGCTGATATGATCATAAAAATTATATAATAAATGCAATATAAACATGTTTAATATTTATTTATTTATTTTTATTCATCACTACTATTAATTTAATTATAAATATTTTTTATCACTAATCTTTAATTCAAATTGTGTCATTAAAAATATAATTAAAACCTATTAACGAGGACCCTAAATATAATTTCTTTTTTATGTATATTATGTTATAGGAATCGCTATTTTTTATATTATAAAGTCAGATAATTTTATAGTATTACTATATTTAATAATTAATCGTATCAAAAGTCGGTTCTCTTGTTGAACATAATTTATATGAAAATAATAAAAACATTTAAACATCATTTAATAAATTCACTTGTGCAAAAATATTCGCTGTTTCGCATTTGGGATTTCCTGTATTATTTACATTGTAGTAGATACCTATTACGTCTAATTTATTAATATCAGATTATATGTTTTGAGTAGTTATAATGTAGTTATACTATGGTGAGTGGATGAAGAAATTACAAGTAAGACTAAACTGTACCATTGATTCTTAAGGTAGATATCTCTTATATCCGTTTGTTCCTGTCATCATGATATCAGCCGTTAACTGTTCACCACTGAACACAGGTCTTCCTCAAAAGGGAAGTTTTGCCAGTAGTTTGCTACGCTTGTCAACTGCAGTTAGGCTTTGGTGATGTTTTAAGAGGGACGCTGTTGCCCATCCCATGACCGTTAAGTTCCTTTAGTCGCCTTTTACGCATGGGTGTCCCATGGGTAATGAAAGGGTAGCCCTTTCTACGCCGGGACCACATGGCAGTTCCTGTTTTGTGAATCTACCGAAATATACCTTATCTCTGTTACGTGCATAAGAGAGAACGAGACAGTAACTACCAGCCCCTCTAGCCAAGTGGAAACGAAACTATCCATACCATTATTATGATATTGATATGATGACCTGAAACGAGATAGTGACGTTTGGCGTCTTACTCTTTCTTACGTATACGCTAATGAAAACATATCTACAGACATATTCATCTATGGTTTAATTTGGTTTATTTACATTCACAGTTAATAGAATTATGTATTTGTATACATAGATTTTAAAAATAAATACCCAGCTATTGCTAAAATCATTTGTGGGTACACAAATAAAAAAAAATCGTAATGTAGTATTGTAGGATATAGTTGTATACTAAGACGAGCCATATAAATCTGTACCAATTAAATTTAGTTCAGTACGAAATATTATATCAATAAGGACAGAAACCAAAACAATATTTTTTAGAAAATTTGTCTGTCTGTTTGTGTTTGTTCTGGTATCACACAAACACAACTGCACTAAATTGGCTGTAGTTTCACAATTGTATTTCTGAAGGTCTGACTTAAAGCCTGGTATATGTTTTACCTTAATACGCCGTTTAGAAGTAATGCATTAGGCGACTATTTCATTAGGTTCACTTGTTTTTGAAATCCACGCATACGTAGTGAGCAAAAAGCTAGTATATAATATTTTAGATATATTTTACCGACCTAGGTGGTGTATCAGTTCAACACACTACCTCACATCCTGATGGTTGTAGGTTTTATCTCCAATTTTTATCGGTCTGAGTGTTTTCTATACTAAAAATATATCTATAAAAAAGTATTTAAATATATCTACATGTTATTTAAAGCACATAGTACGAGCTCTGCATGGTTTGAGATTAATGGTGTCACGTAACACGCCCATTGATATTTTACAATGACGACAAATAAATATATAGCTCTTCTGATTGTAAACGGTTACTCAAGAACCCTTCCAACACCATGAGCATAACGTGCGCTTTGTTAATCTAGAGGAATTTTTATTACTCCTTTTTTAAGAATCCTATACTGTGATGTCTACGAGTATGTAAAACTTCTGCAGGAAACTCATTCTACATACTAGCGTTGCATTAGGACATATCTTTGAAACGCACTAAATGCTACAATTTAGTTCTACAATGTGTGAGAATGAATTCCCTGTTGGCAAAAATAAATGTTTTTTTTTTAAATATTATGTTGGACACAACATTTAAGTCACAGGGTCACATAGCGTGCAAAGACGTACAAACGAGTAAATTGAATACAAAATGAAATTCCTTGCCCACATAAAACAACTTATTTACAAATATAACAAGAATGAACTACGACACAGGTTTATTGGCTGCACCATAACGATTGTATAGATTCCGAAAGGAGATTACAGTTTCTTATATTTATTACCGAGAAACATAATACTAAGCATAATACATATAAAAAATACTATAAATTTTAGGAATGTTTATTTGTTATATATTAATACTATTAAATAATATAATTAGATAATTATTATTATTAAAGATTACAAAAAGCATGTCAGTGAATATCCGTAAAGAATTCAAGTTTCTTAAATACATGCAGTACGCAATCTAAAAATATAATTAGATAAAATTAACTACAGGAAGGAGGTTATTATTTGCAATAATTCTGAACTAATGTTGATGATTTTGAATTGAATAAAAAGGGTTTTAGATCTTTACTGATCTTATACTGATTTTATTAAGATATTTTTAGTCCTTGTTTTACTAGAAGAAACTTGAATTTCGTCTGGGAATATTTACTTTAAGATGTAAGTTTTTCAAATAATTGTGATAATTCTTACAGATGTGCCATCGGTATGTTACAGCCATCGTGTTTTAGACAAAAGGACACACAGTCGACGCTGCAAACAGACACAAACAATGACATCATATTTACATTGTGACGCTGACCATGCCAAGTCAAACAGACTGTACTCACTTTTAGCTTTTTTAGTAGAAGCCCTATGGATTTTTCGGAGGACTTAGTAGGCCATATGGTAGGCATTTTAACCCCATGTAGGCTAGGAAGCTATGATGTTAAAATTTCAAATAGATTATTATTTCGTATTATATATTGTGTAAATAAATACGAATAATGATAATATTGTGATGATTTCAAAGCGGTATGTTCAGTTTTTACTTGGATAAATGATCATTATTTTCTACCATGTTTATGCATTAGTCTGCTTTTGAATTATCTATCTATATTAATTTGATTTTTAACGGTGTAAATTGAACAATATTTTTTGTTTATTAAAGAAAATCCGAATGAGAAAATTTGAAACCGCCCTGTAGGTGATCATTTAAATAGTATACATGAGTTATTATTTAGTTATATTTTATTACCCAATTTTTTAATGTTACAGTGGTAATTTTAACAGATTAAAATTTGGTTCATTTTAAATATAGAAATAATTGCGTACAGATGCAGTAAATAGATATTATTTTCGACTCTTTCTAGATATTGGAAATAAAATATTATATTCTGTTTTTTTTTTTTTTCTGGAATTACATTAGTCTGATTACTTTGTCAAAAAACAGGATTAGATAATTGAGAGAATATTAAAAGTTCCTAAAAGTACCTAAATGCAAAATTAGAAACCTTTTCTCTGTTTATCTCTGTTTATATATACATATAAGTTTGAATAGATATGAAAAATAGTTCATTCAATTTTGTATCTGTATGTATTCCCTACTTCCGTTTGATCGATGATGTATGTTGCATAATAGTGTAGAAAAAACTATTAAAATTATTATCTACATAAAACTATTAAATGAATCGTTTAATATTTGTGTCGTGTATATTAGTACAGTCTCGTAGAAATCCTACATTTTAGTAATATCATGTATGTAATCCAGAAGTTATTCCTATGAGTTGTATCTGAAAAAGACATGACGTAAATTTGTATACAAATTAAACAAATAAATAACATACCTTTTTCGGTGGCATATTTGCTCGAATTAACAATAATAATAAATAATAAAAGTTTAAATAGTAATAATTTGTGTTTATAAGAATATTCCACTTCAGAAAAGTTTAGGCAGATTTGTAAATTATTTTGACAGTTGCGAGGGGGACGGTGTTGTGCGCGCGCATCAGCCGTTTCCATGGCAACAGGGGTGAGCTCCCGAGCTCATGGGAGACCATTGCTAGATTTTGACGTGTTTGTGACGTCGCCGGTGGATTTTTACCTCCTGTCTCTGGGTGAATAATATTTTTCATTATATTTAGCTTAAATGTGTGTTTTTCTTAAGTTTTTTTATAGTGACATATGAATTAATTTATAATTCATGTAATAGACTTGTGAAAAAGGGTCGCGTTTGTATACAATATGGGGGAAAAATAATTTATAAATCTTTATAATTAATTACATAATATTAGGTGTACTTATTATCATGGGCAGTTTACCACGTTTGATTAAATTACGGTTGGATTATATGTATGTTTATAACAGTAACAATCAACATATGTCTTCCTGCATTGTCTATACATATGCTTAAGCTAATTCTCTATCAATACATATGACTACATCATTCGCGATTTACGTTCGTGTAGCATTTGGAATTACATTTGGCAATAAGCAATAAGCAAACATTTTAAACTTATTTTGTTAATATAGTTAGGTTTCTCCTGAATATTTTATTATTAATTTTTATTTTATATTTTATTAACAAAAACTATTGAAATATAAGTAAAATTAATAATTAATAAGTCGCTTTATACATGAGAGTAATGTTTGTTTTTATTTGTAAAGATTCATTAATTCTACATTTTTAATCACAATATAAAACATCCATCATATCACTCTACAGTACGTCGGTATTATTTTATTTCAAACAAGCGATTCGCCCCAGCTTTGCATGGTTTTTTGGAAATAAAATACAGCTCATGTTACTTGTTAACAATGTGGCTTTCTATAAGTGAAAGAATTTTTAAAATCGATTTAATAGTTTTTGAGTTAATTCGTAACAAAAAAATATATCAAAAATAATATTTGTAATATTTGTTTAGATGTTTAGATTTAATCATAACAAATTCATTATTCATGTCAGATTCATGTCAGATAGTCATCTACGAGTACATGGGTTCCCCTCAAGTACGTTGTCGTTCTGCAAGCTGATTTGCATACTGTATTTTAAATGATAGGGTTTCTTTGATAATCTGTATAAAAATATTACGCATTGAGAAAAGCAAGTTTTTGACATCGAATTAAAGGCCGGTATTAACAAAATCGATTATCCGGGTCGTCGATATTTACTTTTCTATGTGAGCAAATTTCTTAAATTTTTTCTCAATTTTCGTTTAGAAACTTTATCGTATTTTTAAACTTTTTGCTCTACTGCTTGATAGTTTTCTCCCCTTTTCTTTCAGTTTGTTCCATTATACGTGAACTTGAACTATTTCATTATCCTATTAATATTATGAATGCGAAAAAAATTGTTACTTAGTGTACATTGACGCTTATCTGTGAGAGTTGTATACACCTTTAATTGATGTGTTCATATGGCCTTAAGCTTGGTAGTGAGGAGTTAAATGATTTTGTTCAAGTAAACTTAGATTTAAGCATTTTTGAATAGTAGTTTTTCTTTTTTACTTACTTATAACATTGTATATTGTCTGCTTAATTGTTGTGAGCATATTGTTGTTGTGTCTTTTATAAATAAAAAGAAAGTTTGTAAGGATTGATGGATGTTTGTTATTCTTTCTGGCAAAAACTATTGAAAATGAAAATGGTTTACGACTGTGATATATCCTAACTTAACATAGTTTATGTACTGATTCAAGAGAATAAAGCCGCAGGATACTGCTAGTCTAATAATACATCAATATCTAGTTAATTGGGTAAATAATTTTTGTCGACGTAAAGGTAGTCACGTACTCTATTGTAAGTTAATATGAACAAAATATGACTTGTTGGGGAATTCCGATTACATATTTACTTATGATTGATAGCTAAGGTTAATACAATGAAATCACTAAGTGGACCCCGTGACTATGTTCGCATCACCATTTTTTATTTAGAACTTTTTTAAATCGCCGTTTAACTATTATAACAAGACATGATTGATATTTCATTTTTTTATAGCTATCTTCTATTAGGATTATGCAAATAAGCTAATGTCTCATCTGATATAAAGTAGCAATCGTTGTCTATACATATATAGTATTCTTCACCAAATAAAGAATACAGTATCGTACATGGTCTCATGTGTTGCTTTTCTAGATGTTTCCTTTGGAGAGGACATTGTAGCTCATATACATTTATGTAACCTTTTATTTTCTGTGGGTGTCTTAAGAGACGACTAAGGGAATTTAATGGTATAAGAATTGTTAGCAGCATATCCCTTAAAGCATCATCAAAGCATAATTATCAACCCGCCTGCCAAATGTGGAAACTACTAGAACCATTTACGAGGGAGGTCTATATTCAGCAGCAGTTCACGGCTGATATGATGATGATAATAAAACATTTGTGTTTAATTTTCACATCTTATTCCATTCCATTAGTTTTACTATATGTAAGTACTTACTGACAGATATTATTAAACTCTGCACTCTATTTATATATAATTAAATGACAGAAAAACAAAATTTTTGCATTAATTTGAATAACATTATATAGAATTCTTATAAATAAGGATTGGTAACAATACTTTACGTAAATCTGTTTTGGTAGCCACTGAGCTACTTGTATTATTCACATTGTAATTAACTATACTTAAAAAGTGAGTATAAAGATTATATCATATTATAATTTCAGATGTTTATCATCTCCACTGAGTACATGTCTTTTCTGCAACCTAAAGGAATGATCCTAAGGCACTTCCATCAACTGATTTTTTGCAACAAATTTGATGTCGCAGTTTTATTTGGCTTTACATTGCGTTTGCCTATACGGGGTCACCATCTGATCGTATCTCTTTATTTTGTCAATAGTCATGATTGTCGGTATTTAGTGATATTAATTTGAGGAAGAGTACATGTGTTTTTTTAATAATAGTACTTTCTATGTGGGTATTTTTAAATCTTATTTATTAAAAAAAAAAAACAGAGGCATAATATTATAGCTACCTATTAATTCTCCATTGTTGAACGTAGATCTTCTGTATAAAATGTTATAAGCAACAGTCTTTGACTAAATGCATCCATTATCTGCAAATTTAAATTTTTGCTTCATCGTGTGTGGTGTCATGTGTCACACTGCATTTGCCTTTATGGAGTAATTAATAGAAAATATCTATTCACCATACCAATAACTTCCTATGCCTCACCTCTGGAGTGAATACCATCTGCGTTACATTATATTCTGTGATATACACCACCCTGTACATGGGACCGCTAGTATCATAAAAATCGTTTTTGCTCTTTCAAGTCGTATAAAAGTCAAGATATTAAAGACTAAGTTTTTTATTCCAGGAGGATACACTTGATCGGCAAATCAAGGAATTAGTCAAACTGGCGGCGGAGGCAGATCACGCCGATGAGTTTATACCCCTGTTTGAGCCGGATGACAGCGGCATCGACAGTGACGACACGGAGCGAGTCGGTTCGAGCGCTAGACGGAACAGCAATAGGATAGTGGAAGTAAGTTCATCGTTTTACACGCTTTTTCAAGCAATGTCTTTTGGTTAGTTTTTTTGAGACCATACTCCGCAAGCTGAATCAAAACGGAAGACCAGCATTCGTTTTGAGAAGAAAACGTATTTGATACGTATTGTATACCCGCATCAGTTTCCCGTTATGTCTCTCATGATAAAGGGTCCCGAATAGTCCTGAAAATAGAAACGCATTCTCTGTATCACCTCTGCATTCTTAATAATCCATTAATATTTATGAAGTATACGACTTAATATACCTATTGTATAACATATATTTTCCTTTTGCACAATTACAGGAGGAGGAGACTAGCAGTGACGAGGATCCTGTGATTAGATCATGGTGGCCGGCAAAAAGGAAAAATGATGATTTATTGGTAAACAAAAGATATTTCGTTCTTTAATTAGTAGTTACAAGTTAGCGTTGCTAGATACGATTTTTATTTCTCAGAATACCAATTTTTGCATTTTTATTAAATAATAAAGTTTCGATTATTTAAAATAATATGTTCAACCAAATAAACACTGCAATATAAAACACCCTCATAATTGCACTGTTATTAATGCCATTTTACTACTATAGTACTGTAGGCCCATCATGAAATATTTTTCGAAATTTCGGGGCCGAACGAAGCACAAATTTGATGTAAAAATCACCTAATACATACCATTTAAAAATATTAAAATATTGTTCCTTTGGACTACTACTATAGGATTTATGACGTACGTAATGTTAAGCTTCTTTTAGTGAGCCGATTTCGGTATAAACAAAACCACAAAATTGAGTCCGCCAATTCCAATTTCTTTTCGTAGTAGACCCCTGGATTATGTGATTAATATATATGGTTTCCAACTGTCAAATCCTCAAATAAATTACCCGTAATTCTCATAGAAATTTAATTTTTATGCAAAAAATTATCCAACTATTTCATTTCTGCAAACATGTTTGAAGACAAATTTTTACCCAAAATTGCAAAAAGAATACTCAATATGGCAACGCTGCTATAAATAACGCCATTTTAAAGTTTTATAATTATTAAATATAGCTTCAGAATTAGTGAACTTATCGTGTAGCAATAACTAATAAAATATCCACACAAATTGAGAAAAATATTTTTATTTATGTATTTCAGAATGACCCTGCCAATTATGTATGCCCAGCAAGAGTATGGTGGCAAGTTGCAAATAAGAAAAATGATGAACGAGTAAGTATGCAATATTTATATTGTTGTAGTAGTATTTTTAAGATATAAGACTATTTCACTAAAAGTAATTAATGACTTAATACATTTAAGAAAATCAGCAAAAAGGAAGAAAATTTAGTCGTGATAATTAATAATGACTTACCATAAGATTAAAAATAAAAATATTAAATGTTGGCCCAACTGATAAAATGTAGTAATCGTCATTCATAGACAGCTATTAGGAGTGTTTGTTTGTTTACTTTTTTGCGGATAATTATGAAAATAGGTGAGAATGAAAAGGCAGGTCAGTTAGCTATTAACGATGAATACACCTGGAATTCAGCACTATGGTTTCCAGAAAGCACCAAGGTGATGTCATTATTGCCAATCTCTTACTCTCATCACAGAATACACTATGACAATTATATTTTGATTATTTCAGAAAAATATGAAGGTGCAAGTAGATCCAGTGAATAAAGCAAGGTGGGTCGCGGGGAGAGATGACAGCGAAGGTTGTTGCATGGACACTTTTGACCGGGCCTCCCCACCTCTCTATGAAGTAGAACTAACTGCTTCTGACGAAGATGACGACGCGTCTGTATTAGAATTAGTTATACCGATGCAGTCAAGATATCAAAGAGTACCAACCACCTCCCCAAAGAAGACGAAGCCTAGGGCACCAAGATTTTTCTGCAACTTATTCTGTTGTATCCGTAAGTAATTTTTCAAATATCTATGTCGATTTTTGAGTAGGTTCTAGGTATTAAGTTTTATTAATAATATCTTGAACTTAATATGTGTCTTGACTGAAATTTAATTATTATGATTGTTGTTATTGTAAGTGTACAGTGTATTGTTTTATTAAGATATTTTCTATTAGCTACTAAAAATATCGAGTGTAATTGTTTGTCAATAAATGTCATACAAAAATAATCTAATAAATAAGTTTATAGTATATGGTAATATAAAGTAAGTAATACGTCTAGCATTCAATCATACAATGGAATACATTTTACTTACATATTTTATTATATAGACAAGATACGAAATGATTGAGTTTTTGAATTCAATTCAGAAATGTTTTAAAAAAGATCAAAAAGATTCTGGCCTATGTCTATAGTGTGAAGTAAAGTTATATGTATTGAGGCATAATTTTATTTATGTAACAGGAATTTGTAGAAAGGCGCTGGGGGGGGGGGGTTTGCTCGCATAAAACATGTACATATGTCTTCTTAAATATGTAACGCTGAAGCTTCGCTCGCAATTTGGGTGGGCACGATCCATTTTAGTGTGACGTTAGACAATTGTATGTTACTTATAAAATCAGACTACTTGACTCGAAACAAGCTTTTGTTTAATATTTTGTTAATTTATATCAATCATAATTACAAAATTGTAATTTATTTATATTTATAAGTAAGAGGAGTGTAAGGAGAGTGAGGATTGTAAAAAGGAATGAGATGAAATGATAAAATAACTAAGTATTTTGACTTAAGTACTTCTTTAACTTTTATTTAGTAAGTATGTAGGATAATTCAATATCGATAAAGAATTGTTGTAAAGGCCTAATGAAATAGGTCTGCCATCATGTTTTTTATGTTATATATTTTTTTCTATTATTAAAATTCAATTTTATAGAGAAAGATAGATGTCATTTTCTAAAACAATGCAAAATTTAAATATAATTATGCATAATTTATGTGTTGTAATGTCTTAAGACGTCAATTTCATGATGACAGGTAAGTAAGAATAAGTATCGATGTGGTATCAAACTAGTGATAATATTAAGTTAAACATATGGAAGTGAGATTTAATGATTCGTCAATTAAAAGGATACGAACGACTATTTGAGATTATTTTTTCATATACTGTATTAATAATATATTATTGTATAATATTTTATCAGAAAGGGACTTTCGACAAAAGTCGTCTATTTAGCTACCTTCCTTCATATGTGTTTCTGCTAAGCAGACTTGCATGACTGTGTCTTAATTTTAAGGGCTCACCTATCACATATATTAATGTGAAACATATTCTAAGGTGGCAGTGACATTATATGATTGTAATTCAAGTATTATTTATTGTAATCCGCTATTTTAGTAGAAATTGTACTGTATTTATTTATAATAACTTGTATTTATAAAATTTAAAGTGTTTTTGATTTTCATTGCATTTTGATTTACATTTGTATTACATTGCATACTATGTTCTTTATATGAGGCCTCAGGGTATGAATATTTTTTATATTTTTATTATGGCAGTGACTGATTATAAAATGAACGGTTTAGTCCTGTTTTTAGAAATAGCTAAGTGAATATTTGTACATTTGATTTTGGCAACTTCTTTAGTAAGATAACTACACTGTACTGTACTTTAATCCAATTAACTATTATTATGTAAGATTTTGGGCCGAAATATACTTTAAAAATTTGCCAAATTATGTATGCTAGCTCATTTACTTAGGATTAAATTTAAACAATTACTTACATACAATTTTTAATGTTTTAACGTATCTCATGTCTAATACCTAATATTAATTACTATGTGATATTGCATAGTTCGTGTGATGAAATGCAAGTTTATTAATTATTATAATTTATTTTCATCGTTTATTAATAATAATGTGTGTTAAGAATTATTTTTTTAGTTTTTTATGGTATTAAATTATTTAACATTAAATTTATATACATAAGCCTGAATTGTAAATGATGTAAATGAAATTATTTGACTTTTGTAATATTTATTTACAGATGGATCAATAATTGTTTGAATAGTTAAGTTAACACTTAACTTATTACTTAACCAATGTATACTTAATATTCACATATATTCATAAATAATAATATAATCTACATATACTTTGAAATTATTGAGTGTTTGTAATATATTTTAAGAAAGGAGTATTGAGTTTTTTTTTTTTAATAAAGCAGGAACATAACATCCGGATACCATAGGCGAGACAGTATACTCTGTTATGTGTATGGTACTGTTCATGTCTATAGGCGACGGTTATCACTTTTCATCAAGTGTGTTATTAGCTTGTTTGCCATTATAAGTTGTATAACAAAACATATAAAATATACATAGAACTTAATTAGTTAGAAAAATACTGTACTGGAAGCCGTGGGAGCCTTTTGTTGCCAAGCCACCTAAGGGTCAATGAAATTGGCCTCCAGCGAAATCATAAATATTTTTTTCACATATATTATGGAATTGTTAATTTATCAGTTGTTTAGAAATAAATTTTATCTTATATTTTATTTTATATTTTACTTGAATCCTCAGGAATGGCAACGCATGGGAAACAGTATATTCTCTTATGTCCATAGTACTGCTCATGTCTATAGGCGACAATTACCACTTTTCATCAGGTGGGCCGTCAGCTTGTTTGCCATTCTAAGTTGCACAAAAAAACTTTCATTTACCATACTAAAAAAAATAATTCTTAAACCACTATAAGGTGGTGTGTATCTTTTATATTTATAATAAGTTCACTATTGTAATCTTTTGGAGGAAACAATAAAGAGTATCTATCTATCTATTTATCTACACATCTTTACTTATTTAATATGTACGTGAGTAATATTTTTCAAAGAAATTTGTATACAAATGAATTCACCTTGTTCAATTAGTCGAATTTCAGGGGAATTTTTGTTTACATCATCTATTTTTTCTCTCTTTGAGATTGCTGGCTCTGAACTCCCGTAAAGTGCCTTGTCGTTGCCGATTTTTTTATTATTTATGTCTATACGATAAAAAAATTAATAAAATTATAAATTGTCCTTCGGGATAATATAATAGATATACAAAAAAAAAAAAATTGCGAATACATGCATCCATTTCCAAATACAGTGCAGGCCGGTGTGTCCAATAGTTCAATACACATTCAAGTTGCGCGCCGTTCGCACCAGAAGGTAGTAGTAGTCGTACATTCCCGTAGTTGTGCATTTACAGGGACTGATATCTATAAATATAATATATAAGAGTGTTGTGGTACCTAATATGAAAGTGTAGTAGCTTGAAAATATTAAAAAATTTGCAAGTTTATCTACACACCTAATGGAAAGTGGAATTGTAAACCATCATGTATAAACATGAATCAGTTCCATGGGCAATTCAATATAATAGAATACACAGTAATATCCGTGGTATTTACAATGGCTTGCCTTTCTGAAAAATAAGGTACTCCGTGCTTAATAATTTACCAAGTATTTTAATGTAGGTACCGAGCAGTCATATTTGCGTCAAAGATTATCTCAAGAGAGGAACAAGGAGTGACCATGCTCTACAGAGATGTATTGTTACTTATACATATCCTATGTTAAAAGGTAAGATTATACAATCTACTTTCAATACCATAGAAGTTAGAGACATGACATATTCGTTATCAGAAATGTGTACGCAGTTATGATTAAAGGTGTTCATTTAAGTATATAGGTTTATTATTAGAAAAGAGTTATTATTGAAATTGGGAACAAGTTATTAAAAAGTTTATGAGAACAACACAAAATGATTAAATTTTGTACTAATCTATTTAAAATTAAAAGACATAAAAAAACTCAGAAATAGGGGCATTCGCATTTGGACAATTATTTTTTATAAATCTAAGTACCAAACTGCTTTTTTCAGCTTCAGCTAAATTTATGACATAGTTCTGCTACTCGATTACAGATGGCATTTAAACCAAAACGAGCCACAACCAACGAAACATTTTAGGGAAATTTTAATCAAATAAAAAAAATATAGAAATACACAAATATATTCATAAATTTATTATAATTTCAAACATTTGTAATATGCTCTGGGTTTTAAAGTGTATTCTGTGATGGCTCTGTCTGTATTGGTATTCGTATTTACAGGCGGCGATTATCATTTTCCATTATGTAAGTCATCAGCTGTTTCGTTATTTTAAGTGCTATGAAAAAAATTTCGAAAAAAATATTTATCATTTTAATATTTATTTACAAGTACTTAGGTATAATGTTAATAAGACCTATCAAATCAGACATGAGTAAAAAAAAATTATTACTCATGACTGATTGATACCAGTGAGAGATAATAGGTGTGAATCAATCAAACGAACAGTTGGCATATCATAGCGAATATGACAAGAATTAACGACAATGATTTCCAGGGCGAACCACGTTACAGTTCAATCTGAAAGGGTATCATCATCATTACGTCAGCTTTATACTGTCTATACTTATACAAAAGTGGATTTTGTCAGTAGTTTTGTCAGTGGATTGGCAACTGCAGTTAGGTTTTGGTGATGTTTTAAGAGGGACACTGCTGTCCATCCCTCGAACATTCAGTTTTCTTATTCGCCTCTTACGACACCTACGGGAAAGTAAGATAGCCTATTCTATGCCGGGACCCCACGGCAATGACAGGGTATATTCATAAGTAGATTTAGAGGTGATCAGTCCGAGCAAGCAGCTACATGAGCTGCTTGCACGAATATGACGGATGAAATAATAAAGTAAATATTTAGCTTAGGGATGTTCGTATAATCTTGTCGAATTTTACCTACTTACCGAGTAATTTCGGATTTGGTATAGGAGAAGGTAGAGGAATGTTACCTAATTGGCAATCTTAATTTGTTGAATTCCGTCGCTCCGGTTTTCAGCCCCGTTGACTCGCTGATACTCAATTTCTGACTCTAAACTGAAAATCGAGAGAAAGATAGCTACGATTTTCATTTAAGTACCCATTTTCTACAATTTCTGACTCAATTCAATTCAACTTTATTAAAAAAAAAATGAAATTTAAAGAATTGCTTATTTATGCCCCCATATGGGGTAAGTTAAGCAATTTATGTTTATTATATTTATATTTTATTATTTATTATTATATCAACCGTTAATTATATATTGCAGAACAGTAGACTTTAGTTAGGCCTTCTTCATGAGAAGAGTTTTGCCAGTAGTTGTCGCGCTTGGGGAAGGGTAGGACCCATTCTATGCCAGGACCACACGGCATCAAAATATATATATTTTAATTGTAATATACAAGTGTTGTTATTACGAGCATTATACTTTATGATACATTAATAAGAAGCGTGTTGCTTAGTAAATATCATAGACCGTAATGGTCGTGAGTTCGAATCTAGCCGACACTAAAACTATGTGTCAATTAAACTCACTGTCTGGTGATGGAAAACACCAATAACAAACCAAAATAATATGAGTGTCGATGGTAAAATACTTTCTACTAAATTGAATTCTAGTATGCTCGGCTAAATGTGAATATGTCGAGCGTTACATTTAGCATTACAGCATCAGTCAACTATGCAATTTGGAAAAGCAAATAAGCAAACAACATTTGCTAAAAAATAGTAAGCGTTACCTATAAATATACATAAATAATTCTTTGAACAATAACTATTGTGAGTCATACTGTATTGTTAATATTAAAGTTCGTTTTACAAATTTCAAACAGGAATAAAGCCAATATAAATAATTACAATACAGCATCATGAATATCACAGAATACTGTAAAGCCATTGGTGTCCTTCAGTGTTGCCATTCCTGAGAACTAAAATATTATATCTCCTTACGCTGTAACTTCATTACTAAATTCCAAAATTTAAACTGAGAGAGTAATTGGATTGTTAGTAATGGGGTGTAACAGCCCTATTAGGTCGACAAGCAATATACCCCATTAGATCGATCTACACGCGGCTCCCCCGGGAAAACATTGTGGTTTAATTCTTGTAGAATTCGTCATGAAGGGCCAACTAACCTGACTTCATCCATACTTATCATCTCTCACTAGTGCCCTGCCTGTGTATACCGATAGCGCAGGCGAAGTTATAGTTCCATTTTCGCCCATTAAAAAAAAAAACCTTGAAACTGAAACATGACTCAGCCATGCAAGCACAGCAGTTTAACCATAGATACGCGATATCGAAATAGATGAATTTTTAGAGAAAAAATAATTTATTTTTCTGATGTCTTAAAAAACGTCTAATAATTATATTATCTACATAAGAAGCGATTTATAAAAATAAATGTTAATTTACGACCCAAATAAACAATAGAAAGGGCGTAGAAAATGTTTCATGGCAGTTATTTCTTTTTAAAAGACTTAAAATGTAGGAGGTTCTCAATTTGCATATCTTTCCCTAATTTGTGAGAGAAAGACTTCCTATGATTTCTTTGATAATAATTTTTAACTATTTGTTTATTCTCGTATTAGTTTCATATACATTTTGTAACAGTCAAACTAGCTGTGTTTCTATTAACCAATAAAAAATATATAGTTTTGTTTTAGCGTTTCTAAAATTTTATATATATTTACTTTTTAGAAACAGAAGTACAACCACACTTTTATTTCTAAAAATTATAAATATTGCTTGATATGGTTGTCTTTACTGAGAATAAATAGAGATTTTATAAGCCTGTACCGTTTTCGTTGCAATTTATTAAATAGTACAATTTAAAATCTATCGAGAAAACATTTTTATTAGACTCCATTTTTGTTAAATTAAAAAAACTGATTTTATTAGATTTTAGTAGACCTATTTAATTTAGAAATTTCGAATGTGATCCATTCTCTATTATGTGTATCATCAAGTGTGACATAAATTAATTAATATTGTAAACGTTTCACAATACAATAATATTAAATAAACATTTCAAAGCGTCTATTATCATTAAATACTTATCCGTATTTTAAACAAATTAAATTTCGCAATAAACAATAGGGCTAAATTATGAAGTATTCAGATGATTAAGTATCTTATCGTAATCACAAAAGCAGGTAATCCTTGTATAGGTAAGGTTTATTAGCCTCGTGCTTTTAAGCAGTGTGCCGTACACGTGAAGGCTGTAATCGCGTCTGGGTGGCTGATGGCGCCCCGCGAGCTCAATGGGCGCGGGGCGGCGCCCGAGAGCCTGCCAGTCGCGCCTCAAGCCCCGTCGGGGCTGCACGTGTCCTCTGTCCCGCCTTGCGACTTATGTAACCATCCGCACGGTGAGTCCTCAGCCTCCACCACCCTACGTCAACCCCGCGAGCCCACGCGTTACCGCTCGCCCGATCGCGGAGTGAGATTATCGACTGCTAACTCGCACGGAACTCCCTCGATTCGTACATTCATACATTGTGCAAACTGTCAGCTGAGAGGTGATATAATCGATGCAGTAAGTACCGGTATTCGTGGGAGCTATCGCGGAATGCTGCAGGTGTGTTATGTAACGGGACAAGTCGGTCTCAGGAGTTGGTCAGTGCGTCACAGGATATGTCGGCGAAGTCGTTTGTCTTTAGGCTCGAGGGCTATTACGATATTGTTTTGTGTTCAACTCGACTGTTGCGTGTTATCTCACCGTTCTGATACTGATTTCACATCGAAATGGGCACCTA